CTTCCAGAAGGATGAAGTCCCTTTCAGCTGTGAGTATGAAGTGGATCGTTCATGAAAAAAGTGCTCACTCCGTCCTCGGTCCTGACCAGGCAGAAGATGAGTGACTACTTAGAGGGCAAATTGTCCAGCAAAGTCCTTTGCTAAGCTGAGTGGACACTTGGATCTAGGACTGGCTGAAGTCCTTTTCAGGTTTGAGGTCCTGGGACCCCGTACGTAGCAAGGCATTCCTCAGGTTACTACAGATGGAGTGTCTGTCGTGTGTCAAATACTGCGATATCTGGGCACAGTGCTATTTAATGCCTTCATCGGGTCTTGAAGAAAGAACCATCCTCCCATCAGAGACAGGGGAAACTGAGGGAAAAGGAGTGTTTTCCTTCTAGCTACCCAGCTAGTGGGCCCACAACTCTGCTGAACAGGAAAGTGAAGGAGAACCGTCCCAAACATTTCTCTCTTCCAAGTACTTGCACCCCACAAGTTTCAAGAATCTTTAATGATAGCTCTGGTGAGAGGTTCAGGGTCTGAGCCAACAACCCATTCTAGGCTGGCTGGGGCGGAGCTGGGGGTCTAGAGGTGACAAGGTCTTATTTATGTGTGTTTTGGGGGTTTGAGTTCCTGATGTAAGGTAATCATTGGCGGACCTTCCCAGCTGGAACTGAAGGTGGCACGGGGCCAGGGTCTGCCTCCCTCAGGCAGGTATAAGAGCCAGGGAGGAGGGCCTGAAGTTAGAGCAGAGATTCGGAGTCAAACTGCAGTGTTACAGAACCGTGGAGGACAGGGTCAGTTTTGGCGTGGTCCCCTTCCTGCGGAGATTTGAAAAGGAAACCATTGTGCTGGAGAAGCTGCAAGAGGTCGCCAGAAGCCCCAGCCTGGCTCCTCGAGGTGAGTACTTCCTTCCACAGTCCCGCCTTTCCCTTCCCACAGAGCTCTTCACCCCTGTGAGAGACTCAGAGCCCACCTGGCCCAGAGGTGTCCAGGTGACTGCTGTCTCTCAGAAGCACTATTGCTGTGTGCCGTCAAGTTAGAACTGACTCTCCACAGGATTTTCAGATTGTTTACGTTTCACGGGATGAGCCTGAACATCTTTCTCCCTTGGAGTAGCTGGTGGATTCCAACCACATGCCTTACAGTTGGCAGTGCAATTTCTTACCACTACGCCGCTAGGGCTCCCTCAAAAAAAACTATGTTGTTGTTATATACCATCAAGTCAGAACTCACTCACCACTGCTCCTCCAGCAGATTCTCAGAGGCTTTAAATCACTTTTCTTGTGTGGTGGTGGTGGTGGTGTTTATTTTTCCTTGTAATTTTTTTTTAAATTTTACACTAGGGGTTACCTACAATGTTTGCATACATTGCCCCTCACACCAGATAGATCTCCCTCACCCATCAAACTGTACAACCCCATGACTATTCCCCTGCCTACCCACACCCCTCTGTTCCCCCTCCCCCCTTTAAATTCTCAAACATATTTTACTAGTTATCTATTTCTATAATAATGATCTTATATAGTATTTGTCCTCATGGGACTGAGTTAGTTCACTTAGCATAATACTCTCCAATTCCTCCCAAGTTAGGTTCTGATTTAAATCACATTTTGAAATGACTGTATGTAAACCAACAGATTAGAAGGAAAAAAAAAAGCCAAACAATGCCTACTGGAGAAAAAAAAATCACAGTGGAGGAGACTGCCCGTCTTTTTTCTGCAAAGCAGTTGGGATATCTGAATCATGTTCCTTTAGGTTGGCAGTGCAGCTCCTTACTACTAGGCCACCAGAACGCCCTCAGAAGTACTGCTGTTGTTAGATGCAGTAATGTTGAGTACAACTCATAGTGACCCTAAGATCTGAATCCTGACCCTGTGAACAACAGATCTGAACCTTGTCCTATCCTGTGCCATCTTCAATCTCTGGCACATTCAAGCCCATTGCTGTAGTCACTGTGTCAAACCATCTGGTTGAGAGTCTTCCTCTCCTTCACCTTTCCAAGCATGGTGTCCTCCTCCAAAGACTAGCCTCTCTTAGCAACATGCCCAAAAGATGTGAGACAATGTTTGATCATCTTTGTCTCCAAGGAATACTTTGGCTGCACCTTCTCTAAGACATACCTGGAGGTTTGTTGGCAGTCCATGGGATATTCAGCACTCTTCTCCAATACAAGAGATCAAAGGCATCAATTCTTCTCCTGTCATCCTTATTTACTGTCCATCCCTCAGATGCGTAGAAAGCAATAGGGGATAGTAATAAATGTGGAAGGAGTCTTGGTGGCAGAATTGTTAAAGAATTCAGATGCTAACCAAAAAGTCTGAAGTTTGAACCTACCAACCACCTCAAGGGGAAAAAAATGAGGCAGTTTGTTCTGGCAAAGATTTACATTCTTAGAAACCCTATGCTCTACTCTGTCCTGCATGATTGCTATAAGTCAGATTTAACAAAATAGTAGTGGGTTTATAGGCAGAATCATTCCTTCAGGTATATTCAATTAGGTATTAACTAGTGGCCTAGTGGCAAGAAGCTGCACTGCAATTCTGAAGGCAGGTAGATCGAAGCCACCTGCTGTTCCACAGGAGAGGGACGAGCAATCTCCTCCTGTGCAATTAACTGTCTCTGAAAAGCCACTAGAGGGTCAGGTATGGGTCAGTTCTGACTCAACAGTACACAACACTACCACCACCACCACCACCAGGTACCTCACTGCATTGAGATTACTCAAAGCCTGCTTTAGCACAATAGCTTCTCAGGTATTATCTTCACTTACTCATACAATAGGTATATAAGTATTTTATAAGTAAAACTGAAGCACAGAGATGTTAAGTAACTTACCCAACGTCACACAGCAACTAAATGGCAAAACTGAGATCTTAACTCCCAGACTTCAGAACCTGTGCTCTTAACCACAGTATCACATTGCTTGGTGGCCCTGCTGAGAGTCCTTTCCACTTACTGAGAGGAAGCTTTTCTGTTGAAGATGTAAAACTTAATCAGAAATGTATTTCCTTGAGAGACACTAGAAAATATGAGGCATGGGTCAGCTTTAAGCACCAGAGAAATTTGTTGGAAATATTCCTCAAGAACTATGAACCGTGCATGCCTTTTAACCTAGCATTCAGCTTTTGAAGTATATCAACAAGGATGCAGTAAGATCTATGAATAAGGAAATGCATCATGTTGTTGTTGTCAGATGCCAGGAGCTTGAGTATCATCTGCAATGACCTCATACGGTGGAATAAAACCACCCATGGGTTTTCGAGGTTGTAACTTTTAGGAGAGTAGGTAATTTTTCTGTGTCTTTTTCCTGTCTTTTTCTGTGGAGCTCTGGGTGCATTCAAAGTTTGTGATATTGTTGCTTCTGGAGCATTAAATGCAAACAAAATGACCACCAAATAGAAGAAATTTTGAACATCCTCTGATGAAACACAGTGGTGTCATTAAATGAAATACCAGGTTTTCAACATTACTTACTGCCTCTGGCAATATTTTGCAAATCTTTTTGGTCTTACCAGTTCTTAAGTGTGTGTGCACAGGTAAATGAAATAAATATGAGACTGGATAGAAATACATATGGGATCTGAATGCTTATCTCAAGCACTCAAGAGAGAAAATTATTAATATTTATTTTCCACCTTTGTTCTTTTTGAATTTCCCCACATCTTCTATAATTAACACATACTCCTTTGTAATTAGGGATCAGGGAAAAATCCCAACCCAATTCATTGCCCTCAAGTTGAAACCACTCACAGCTGACCTCCAGTGGGTTTCTGGAGGCTGTAAATCACATGGGAGGTTACCCATCTTTCTCCAGTAGAGCTGCTGGTAGATTCGAACTGACAGGAACCACGTTAGTTTTCCAGCCTGGCTCTAGACCCACTAGGTCACCAGAGCTCTCTTATAATTAGAAAAGCAGTTATTTGCCCACCAACAAATGAATGGATAGAGAAGCTCTGGTATATTCACACAATGGGATACTACTCTGCATTGAAAAACAAGGAACTCATGCAATATTATACAATATGGGTGACCCTGGAGGACACTATGTTGAGTGAAATATCTGTCACAAAAGGACAAATACTGCATAGTGCCACTGTTGTAAAATGGGACTGACATCAGGGTTAGGGGGAGACTGAGAAAGGTGGGATAAATTATGTATGCTGCATTGAAACAGATGAGGGGGAAAACTGTTTAAAAAGGGATATGTGATTAGGTATATATTGTCATAACAGGAGTCCAGAATGAAGACTGTATAGTGGAGTGGACTTGTGTGGAGGGATTGTATAACAATGAAAGAATTTTTCTTTTACTTTTCAAAGAGAAGTGTGAACTGGGGGGGGAGGTGTGGGCAGGGAGAAAAGTGCAACAATGAATGAATAGAATCCAAAGTCTCTGCAAACTTTCATTAAAATTAACAATAAAAAAAGAAAAGTAGCTAGTTAGTAAAATCTCATATGGCACCCCCCCAAGTAATTTTTGGGCAATACATGGTCCATTTGAAACCTCAGTTATCATCACTCATTGGTCTTAAGAGGGGACTGGATTGCTGGTTTTTAATATTATAAGGGTGGGTCTCTGAGATGATCTGGTCCGACTCTCTCATGTTCCACGTGGGGCAACTGAGGCCCAGAGTCACAAAAGGATTTATCCCAACTCACATAGTAAACCAGAGAGGGCCCAGATCCCAGCTGAGCATAAGGGCATTTGCCCACAGGGCCACAATCTCAAGGTCAGACTGCAGAGGACAAAGAGATGGAAGGGACTCACAGCAGCATTTACTGCCTGTGGCTCACTCATTTGAGATGCTAACCTCAGGGGGAGCTGACCTTACAAAGCTACCCCTTGGTGAACTGACCTGGGAGTGACAGGTACTTGGGACAAAGGGCAGCAGGGAGGGCATGGAGCCAGCCAGGTGTGCCTGGGCCTCTCCCTCTCATCTCCAGGCCACACCCAGCGCTGCTTCCTCCCTCAGCAGTGCTCTGGACTTGAACCCAGTGGGCATCGGCTGGGACAAGAGAATGAAAGGTCTACGATGGCGCTACACTCGGCTGGTAAGGGATCCTCTGCTCGGGGCTTGGGTGGGAAGTAGGGAAGCAGAGCTCTGGCCAGGTGGGACTCTGGACTGGGGACTGGGCTGAGTTGGACGTAGACAGGTGATCTGCCCCTTTCTGGGGACAGTTGTCAATAAGTTCAGAATGGGGACAAAGTCAGCTTTAGCTCCCAGGTTCACTGACCAGTGATGTCACCTCAAGGGAGGACAAAGCACTGTCTCTTCCTCTCCAGAGTGAACGGCATATAGAGTTCTGGCCAGAAGTACAAATCGCTAGGAGAGGCCATCTCTTTTAGGTTTGAACTTGGGGAATAGAGAACAAGAAAGTGGGGCCTATACCATTTCTCTGTATCCATCTATATGTGCCAGAAAACCTCTCCTTCCTAATAGAGACCCTGGAGTCATATGTGTAAGTGTGTATATACTTAAATACACACACATTTTCTGGTACAGAGGTGGTGCTCAGTTGATTGGATGAATGAATGAATGAATAACTAAATATACTAACATATAAGTCCACTCACACACATATACACACACACACACACCCATTGTCACGCAAACATTTTTACATACAGTCACACACATTGATACTCAAGACCATCACACACTGATTTGCCTCTACAGCTCTATTTTAAGTCAATGCACACCTACCCCTGACAAATGCACATTTTCCATTCATTTTTTCAACCTTTCACAGCGGCCAGGAAGCTGCTGGGCCTCACTGTCTTCCCTTGTAAACTGAAGATAATAAGGGGTGTATTCCTCTTAGAATTTGTTGGGAAAATTCAAAGAGATCAAACATTCACGGCAGGCAGGTCAAACGTGTGCTGTACCAATGTCAGCTGTCATTGTTGCTGTTATTTCATGTCCAAGCACACAGTCACAGCCCACAGGGCTGGGCTACCACCTGTCCATCTCTCTTGTGATCCTCAGGGCCCATTCAGGATCCAGAGCAAATAGACTGGAAGAAAAACTGGGGCGAAGGGCACATCTGATGAGCTGTGTGTGTGCATGCAGGCGCTCAGCTCATGGGCACCACTGATTCTTGGTTGCCAGGGGCAAGGGAGGAAGTGGGCTAGTGGTAGTGGAAGTGCTGTCTGCTTTCTGTGGAAACTTCCCAGCTTGCCCTGGGCTGGGCTGGGTGCTGCAGGGAGCTGGGCCAGGAGTGGTGACGCAGCCTGAGGCTCTGGGCTGAGCAGCGTGCACGCTGCTGCGTCCTGTCCTTCAACTCACCAGGCCTCTTTGCATCTGCACAGCCCATCCAGGAGGATGGCCTATCTGGGGAGAGTGAAGAAAAAGAAGAGGAAGAGGCAGGTCCAGCCTCCATCATAGTCCCTAGTCCTGAAGATCCGGTGGAAACTCAGCTTGCAGAAGCCAGTCAGGTGCTGGGCACCTCGGAGATCAGGCAGGTTCGGGCACTGTTCATGACCCAGGGACTTCAGCCCTGAGCCTGAGGGACCCACCCTCCTGTGTACTAGCCAGGCCCAGGACACTTGGAGCCATGCCTGCTCCGTCTCTGATTCACTGTGTTGTTTTAGGGAAATAATTTCTTCTCTGGATAGTCCTTCCCTTTCCTGCAGTAATATCAGCCTCACTCTCTTCAGTAAGGCAGGAGGTTAGGGAGCTAATTAAAGAAACAGATTCCTACATAGAAGCAGTTTTTGGGAAATAAATCTGAAGTGGGGCAGGAGGAAGAGGGCAGAAGAGGGGAAGGAAAGACAAGAGGGGCTTAGCATCTCTTTTTTTGGGGCTCTAGGGACCCAGGTGACTAGGAAGGAAGAGTCTTGAGACAGATCTGGGTTTGAATCCTGTCTCTGTCATAATTTCCAAAGCGAGGAAGTTGTCTCACCTCTCTGAGCAAAGTTTCCTCAATTCAAAAACAGGAACCCCTGTCTCCCAGGGCTGGGCTGATAGTAACAGAAGTTCTTAGGAAAAGAAAGTGCTCTATGATCTGTCAAGCTCCATGCTGAGTGAAAGATGTCTAACCTCAGTCTTCCTGGGCCCCTGAGGTTCTAACAGTAGAAAAAGGTGGGAGGCGTAGGGTTCCCCTGCTCACCTCTAGTCCTGTCCCCAGCTCAGTCTCCACCTCCCCCCGAGAGTCACTGGACACTCCTGGAGTCTGGCCTTCTGCACAGCAAGGGACGGCTTCAGCCTGCGGACCCTATACCGGCAGATGGAAGGCCACAGCGGGCCAGTGCTGTTGGTGCTACGGGACCAGGATGGGCAGGTGAGCTAGGCCAAGACTCAAATTGAGGCTCAGGTGCTTCCCATCAAAGTGCCAGGGGAGCCTCACGAACGAGAGGGCAGAGGTGATAAACTAAGTCACCCATATGGATTCTGATGACAGCAAGGAGACCCAATCTGCTCAGTGTCATTTCCTTACTCAGTCATTCAACACAGGCATAATAGTATCTTCTCTGGGCTGGTAGAAATGGTTTGTGATTGCTTGCTAACCTTTTTTACTTTGAAGGTTCATGTACACCCACCAGCTCCATGGGAAAAAGACTGGTGATCTACTTCTGTAAAGATTAAAGCCAAGAAAACACTATAGAGCACAGCTCTATTTTGTAATACATGGGGTCATCAATGCTTTACCATTAGGTTACCAGAACTCCTTACAGAAATATCGAGTGTTGTTGTTATTGTTATGAGCTGTCGAGTCAACTATGACTCATCATGACCCTATGTACAATGGCTATCCTGAGCCAACCTCACCATCTTGGACACACCTGACCGCACTGCCACAGTCACTGTGTCAATCCATCTCATTCAGGGTCTTCCTCTCCTGAGCTAACCCTCTTCCCTGTCAAACATGATGTCCTCCTCCCAGGACCGGCTCCTCCTGGCAACATGCCCAGAGTGTATGAGATGAGACTTTAAAATCCTTACATTGAAGGATTTTAATCCTTCAACTCAATATTATCGAACAAACTCTGGCTTGATAATAGAGTAACTGAGAAAAATTATAGTCTAGAACCATAGTTATTGATAACATTAAGTTTCTGTTTTTAAAAAGATATTCTATTCTACTGGCTAACTGGAGAAAATAAAGCAGGACCTGGATACTAGACAGCATTACGGAATTCAGTTCATTTTCTTAGGTGGTATTTTGTATTTTGGTCATGCAAAAGGAAGTCACCATTCTTAGAAGCTAAGCTGCTTAAAGAGAAATTAAGGGTCACAGTGTTTACAACTTACTTTCAGGAGGGTCAGGAAAAGTTATATACAAAGAGAGATGAAACATATATTGTAAAACTATCCACAACTGTGGAACCAAGGTCAATGTATCAGTACTTCTTAACTTTTTTGTATGTTCGACATTTTAATTATCAAAAGTTAGGGCAAAACCAACTTACAAAACTAACTCATTTCAAAAACAGAAATCTATATATTCACTAGCTTTAAATAGATGCTGGGAAAAAATGAACCAAAATGTCAATAGGAGCTTAATAGCAAGGAATTGGGCTGCCAACTGAAAGGTACATGGTTCGAATCCACAGCTGCTCTGCTGGAAAAAGATGGACAATCTCCTCACATGTGATTAACTGCCCCTGAAACCCCACTGGAGGGTCAGCTTTGAGTTGGTTCCCACTTGATGGTACACAACAAGTTATCCTGGGAAGCAAGGAAGTAACTGGGATGACTTGATCTTCCTTCTTGTCTGTCTTCTAACTTTTATACAAAAATTAAAAAATAAAAAAAAAACCCAAGTGCATTTAAGAAGAGAGTAGCAGGACTTAAAGATCTGGTTGAAGATGCCAATAAGAGCTCTTCCTTGGCGAGTATTAAGGGGCAGGATGCATGCTATGGGACCACAGAGCCTTCCCAGTTCCCAGCTTTGCCAGGATTCCCTAGGCAGGACCCCATCAGGATAAGCGTACATACCACATCTGCAGAGTGGAGGCTGCCACAGCAACTTCCTCCTTCCCCAGCTCCCTCCCAGCTGCAAACTGCAACCTCTTCTGTTTTCCAGATGTTTGGGGCCTTCTCCTCCTCGACTATCCGACTGAGTAAAGGTTTCTATGGCACTGGCGAGACATTCCTCTTCTCCTTTTCCCCGCAGCTGAAGGTAATTGCGGGAGAATGGGATCTGTGGCAACATAAAGCTCCAGGGGTCCCGGTGGCCCAAGGCCTCAATTCCATACTGGATTGCCTGGCATCTCTCCACCTTTTCACAGAAGGCAGAGAGCAGGGCAGCGGTGAGCAGAGCATCTCGCTTGGCCTGTCCCTCTTCACTCCAGGGTAGGGGTAGGGTGAGTCTCAGTAGGACCCTCATAACTAGTAAGTGGTTCTGAGAGAAGGAGGGACATAGCTCACCTGATACAAACGGAAATGATGTGGGGGTCCAAGTGCAGGTAGACTGAAGGTCTGATGGTGGGACCATGAAGCAGCAAAGGGCTGATAGTTCTGATTTTTCTAATGAAGCATGAAGTGAGAGTATCAGCTGAGAGGGAGGACAGAGTGTGTGAAAGCTCGAGGGAAGAGAAGGCATGAGATAGCCTTGGGGCGGGGGGGGCGAAGGAGGAAGCCTGTCAGGGACACAAACGTACGGTGAGATAGTGTCGACTGAGGACCAGAGTCAGTAGGCAAGTCACGTGCTTCTCTCCAGCAACATTCAGCTCCTCAGATGAAAGCATGGAGAAAGCGAATGAGAGGGTTCATCTAGGACTGGAGTTACACTTAGCTGGTTTAAACAGAGGCAGAACCAACAGACAGAGTTTTAAGAGAGTGAAAATCCAAAATGCAGCCCAAAATCTAGACTTTACCAAGACAATAGGGATGCCAGAGGGAATTGCAGGATAAAGACACTATAATGGAGTTGAAGGCAAGATACGGTAAAGAGAGATAGAGGAGCATTTGAAGTACACTGTGGAGAGAGGTGCCTTCACAAGTGAGGGCAACTTCTGGGATGTGGCCAAGGCAGATGGAGCCAGAAGCTCCACTGGTGATAAACAGGATGGAAGCTGAGGAGGGCATGAGATCCCTCACCAAAGTGCTAACAGTTGGTGACAGTTTAATCAGAATTTATGTTATCTTTGAGAATGGACTTACTGATGGTTGGGTGAGCCTGGAGTTACAGAATAGATAAACTTCAACAACAACAAAGAAATAAAACAAACAGAAAAGACTTGGCAAGCTCCAAGTTAACAGGCAGCCCTGTAGTGCACAGCTCAGGGAGGAAGCTCAGAACACCTCCTTTGTATATGTGTGTTGGAGGGGGGAGTGGGTAGGGAGGAAGTATTAGCTTTCTCCCTGGTATAACCTGCAGATTAGGGAGAATAATTCTTCCTTAAGGGGGAGATGAGAATATTAATTAATACCAGGCTTTTTTCCTCTCTGTAGAGTCCTCAATGAGATCTGCTGAGAGTTGCTGGAAGGGTACATGTAGTCAGTGAAGTTCATGAAGAACCGTGTTGTTGCTGTGTGCCATGGATTTGAGATCTCTGCACAGTGACCCTATATGACAGAGTAGCACTGTCCCACAGAGGCAGTACCTAGACTGTAATCTGAAAGGGAGCCAATGACCAGGCCATTTATTCATGGAGATACTGGTGGTTTCAGCTGAGCACTTAACCATTATGCCACCCTGCTCCTTATGACAATGATGCACTTCTCTCTCTCATTGATGCTGGGTCAGAGCTGACTCCTAGCTGACTCTTTGTTGGGTTTTCAAGTCTATAAATTGCCTGAGAGGAGATTGCTTAGATTTGAACTATCAGCAAGGTGGTTCAAATCTTTGGGTTAGCAGCACAGATCCCTACAGACTAGGCCACTCGAGTTTCCCAAGATAATGACAGAGCTTGGCAAGGTAGGAAGGCCAGGAGCCAGAGCTCAAGTCGCTGATTAATGACAGAGGGTGACAAGGAGATTAATGGGTGACAAGGACAAAGTGGGATAGTGAGATGGCAAGAGCTGCCAAGAAGCTGGGATTTTCAAAGAAGGAATGAGAATAAGTACTCCTCAGCATCTCTCATGCCAAGGTTTTTCCATTTCTGGGTTATTTAATTAATAAGGTTACTAAGAGTTAGATACTTGGCTCAGAGCATACCACTTTTAATAAAAGTATAGCAGTTGCTTAGGGAGTGCTGAGTTTTTTTTAAGAGTGATGGAAAAGCTGTAAATAGATAGGTGTGATGGTTACACAACATGATAAACATAATATCACAGAATTATACAAATCAAAACAGCAAATGTATATATATTTATAATCTTTAACAGTAGCTAACAAAAGCCAGTGAGCTGGCTGCTAGAAGATGTTTTAAACTTCTGCAAATCAGTGATTGCTTTTAGTCATACCAATCCTACGAGGTCTGTACTATTTTTCACCCTCATCTTCTAGAAGAGGATACAAAGGCATCCATCCAGAGGTTGAATAACTTGATGCAGATAGCTTCTGTTTCCCAGATGGGGGAGGGGAGAAACAATCTCAATAGAAAGTCAGTGGTAAGTGCTGTGAAACAAACAGAGGAAGGGCATCGAGATCAGACAGGGCCGAGGAGAACAGGGGGCCATCCGTGAACAGGAGCTTCTGATGTTCTCATGATGGACAAATAGGTCATTACGAGGTGATAACGAGTACAGGAAGGCGTCTTCTGTGCACAGACCCAGAAACCAGAGAGAACAGGAATCTTTAGGAAGGTCACGCAGATCAGTGGAGAGATTAGTGTTCAAGGTAGGGTATATAACCTGTCCTCCAGAAACCTTTGTGTGTTCAATGGGGATGAACTTGTGTCAGGTGCCTTGCTTTGCCATTAGAGAATTCTCCAAATCATAGACCAAGAAATCAAATCATATAGCCAAGAGTACAATCATCCTCACTCATGACAAGGAGATACAAAGACTCAAGACTGTTTGTCGCATTGCTCCCACGAGCGGGCCTGGTCCTCCTGTTCAGCTCTTCTCAGTGAACTCGTCACCACCCTGATTTCCCAATTTCACATTCTGGAATTCCAAAATTCCTTGTGACAACTTCTTGCCAGAGAATCTCTGGATGCTTTTCTCCTCGTCTCCCTAATCTTATAATATCAGAGCCTCAGGGCTGTTTTTGTCTCTTCTCTTCCTTAGTGATTTCATCTCATCCCCAGCACATCCAGGTACTGTTTTTCTGCTGGTCTCCTAACCCATATATTCCAAACTGCTCCTCAAACATCCACTTCAATCTCAACCGTAACATGTCCAAAACAGCTCCTGATTTCTCCTACCATACTTGCTCCTCTTATCTATTGTGTTCTTCCGCATTAATTAAAAGTGGCATCTCTGGAGTTCCTGAGACTGATCATCTTGGTGTTCTCCTTAACTCCTCTTTATTTCATTCCTCATCTGAGCTGTCAGTGAATGCTGATGATTCTTTTTTTTTTTTTTTTTAATCTATACCTGGAATTCACTACTTCTCACCATGCCCTTTGCTGCCATCCTGGTTCAAGCCACCAACATTGCTTGCCTGTGTTCCTGCTATACCTCCCTAAAGGATCTTCCTCCTTTCATCTTCGTCATTCAGTGCAACTGGAATGATCTTTTAAAGAGGTAAGTCAGATCATGCCATGTCTCTGCTCCAAGCCATCTTAAGCATGACTTCAGTAAATTCTGTTCAAAATCATTCCTTTCTTAGAGAACAGTCAACGTCTTTACAATGACCAAAAAGCCTCTACACTGAATGGTGTCTCTCTGGTGTCATCTCTCGCTACTTTTCCGTCTCTCACTCTATTCAGACTATCCTGGGTTCCGTCATTGTTACATGCCGTCTGCTCGATTGTGACTTATAGTGAACCTATGAACAACAGATCTGAACCTTGCCTTACCCAGCACTATCTGCATGACTTCCACCATGCCCAAGCCCATTGCTGTAATCATGTGTCAGTCCATCTGCCGGGGGGTGGGGGGGGGTGGGGGAAGGGGTCCTCTCTTCTGTTCACCATCTACCTTTTCCAGCATGATGTCTTTGTCAAGGAAGCTGAAGCTTCCTCTCACATACCCTGGCTTCCTAACTGGTCATCAAATGTACACATCTGTTCCTATCTCCAATCTGTTCCTAAACCCTATAGGGGTTTGCACTTGTTCTTTCTAGCAAGCCTTTCCATTGGATCACCATAAGACTGATTTCACTGCCTAGGAACTGTTCAATGCCATTATCTCAGGTCTTCCCTGACCTGATTGAAAATGACAATACTCTTCCCTGGGAAATTCTTTAGTGCGTGTCCACTTTGGTTTTCTCCTGACTAGTTATCCCCACCTACAAAACCAAACCCCAAATCTGTTTCTGTGGAGTCAGCCCTGACTCATGGGAATCCCATGAACTTCTCACTCATATGTTTCTGTTCCACAAGGTTTTCTTAGCTGTGATCTTTAACCATGGATTTGAACCATGTGCCTGTGGTATGGCAGGGCAGCTACTTACCACTAGGCCATTTCAGGACAGGTCCTTTTTCCCCCCCTCTTTTCCCTGTAGCACTGTTGGGTAGGATTGAACCATCGATCATTATGTTAGAAGTTAATATCAATCCTTCTGCCACCTAGAGTTCTCTATCACCATTTAACAGAACTATTTGTTTTGCTTACTTGTCTAGAGGCAAGGATTTCTGCCTTTGCGTTCACAGTTCCATCCAGTGCTTAACACAGTACCTGGCATGTAAGTGGCAAAAAATATTTGTTGAATGAGAGGAATGAATTTCCAAAGGAATTACTGTCTTCCCAGTCCATAGTTATGGAATCCATTTTTTCAGAAAGCGATAAATTATTGTTCAGCTTTGGTGCTTGGTATTTCTCACGTTCTTGATGAATTCACAGCAGTTCTTTGATTACCATTCCAAGCAGCACCACAAATTTGGTCTTTTGTTGTTGTCATCGAGCACGACACAGCAAAACAGACACCAGTTTAGGCATTTTGACATGGACAAGTTTTGACACTGATTCTATTATTCAAGTTGTACAAACCATTCTCCTCCACTCTTCAAGTTCTTCCTCCGTTACCATAAACTCCCTTCCCACCAATATTCCTATGCAATCTCTGTCAATTTGATCACATATACAGAGTTCTGAAAATAGCATCAAATTATTTTTGCCCATTTAGCTAAACTACTGCTTGATTTCAAGATGACTTTATAGCTTTCTGGCCTGTTTCAGATTATCTGAGGACAATATTTTCCAAGATCATCCAGCTTTCATGGCTCCAGAAAGCCATGGAAAGCATGGAGTTCATGAAAATTTGAAATTCTATTCTGCATTTCTCCCTAGATTTTGATCTGGATTCATTAATGGAATCTTTGGCCAAAATGGTCTTGTTTTCTTCTACATCTAAGCTTACTCGCCCTCTGGTTTTAAGATTATTTTTCTTGATCAAAGTAGAGGAAGCACTGGATGACTTGTGGATTTGAACCATGTGCCTGTGGTATGGCAGGGCAGCTACTTACCGCTAGGCCACCAGAGTGCCCTATAGGCTAAGAAATACTACCCTAAATCAATGAGATTCCCCCCCCCCCATCACTGTAAACCAAAAGTCAGTACTGCATAAGCAGTAACTTCCCCTTCCTCCCTCTCCTCTGCCACCAGTAACCACTAAAAAACTGTGGTCTTTATACATTCACATTTTCTTGTTTTTCTGTGAGTCATACAGTTTTTGTCCTCCTGTGTATGACCTCCTTCACTCAGCATAATGTGTCTTGTCTCCATCCACTGTATATCTGCACCACATTTTGGTTATCCACTCATCTGCTGTTTCCCATTTATTTCTGCTTTGAGGTACAGTTGTGACTAGTGACACAACGAAAATTGATGGACAAATACCTGTTTGAGATACTTTCTTTTCTTTCGGTATATCCCTAGGAGGTGAATTGCTGGGTCATGTTTTTAGTTTTTTGAGGAACCTCCATATTGTTTTCCACAATGACGGTGCCACTTTGCATTCCAATCAACAATAGATAAAAATTATCTAGGGATCGTTGGTGGCCTAGTGGCAAGAAGCTGCACTGCAATCCCAGAGGTACATGATTTGAATCCACCAGATAATCTGCTGGAGAAGGAGGGACAACCTCCTCCTGTACTAGTCAGATCCGATTTGACGGTACACACACAAAAATAATAAAATAAAAAAAAAATTTTCGTTGTCCCACATCTTTGCTAGTATTTTGAAAATGTCTTCTTTTAAAAAAATCTTTACTCATCCTATTGAAAGTGGAACAGTATCTCATGGTAGTTTGTCTCTCTGACAGCCAAAGTGACCGAGCATCTTCTCATGTGTTTGGCTATTTGAACATCCTCTTTGGTGAAATGTCTATTCAATCCTTTACCTGTTTTATGATTGGGTTATTGGTATTTTCATCATCAAATTTTAGGGTGAGCATTAACATTACTGGTAAGTATATTCGTTTTCTCCTGGACACAAGAGCCTACTATTTGGTCCTAAAAGCCTTCTGAGGTCCCAACTCTTCTATTTCTTAGTTGTTGGAATTGACGGAAAACCTCATAAGCAGTTCCTTACTTCATCATCAAATTTTAGATGTAGTTTGGTTATCAACTTCTTCCTGGATATATAGCTTACAGGGGTATTATCTCAGCCAACAGTTTGTCTTCTTTACATTTCTTGTAGACCTTTTGATTGTGCTTCAGCTGAAAGTTTACAGAACAGACTTTGACTCCTTTCAATCCTTTATTCACCTTTTGTTCTGTGATGTTAAGTATCATCTCCACACTGAAACAGTACTCTTCCCATCCATCTTGTGATTTTTGTTGTCATTTATTCTTCTATACTTTCCTTCCTGGTTTCTGAGTTTTATTGATGGGCAAATTCTGCACCTTTGATCTTGTATAGTTAACTATACTAAGGACAGATAATTGTTTACCTTCTAGGTCTATTGTTTGGCTGAACGTTGTGCTATAGGGGTGAATTCTCTCCCAGCTTCAAAGAGAGGCCAAGGACCACAGTCTCAGGGGTTCCTGAGTCTATCTCAGGCCAGTAAGCATAGTTATGCTTGTAATTTTAAGCTCTGTTCCACCTTCATCTCACACTCTATCTGTTGTTGCTATTGTTATGTACTATCAAGTCAGAGCTGAATCATAGTTAATCCTCTAGTGGGTTTTCAAAGACTGCAAACTGCACAGGAGGAGATGGTCCATCATTCTCACACAGAGTAGCTGTTGTACTCGAACCACTATGCTTTGGCTTGGGAGGGCAACTCTTCACCACTGGGCCACCAGAATTCCCTCCTGCTGTGTCCAGAATCTATCTCTACTTTTATCTTTTTCAAAGTAGTCAGCAGTGGTAGCTGTATACTATTCAGTCCTGGTCAAAGGGTCATGGAGGTTGAGGTTCAAAACGTCCATGGCAATTGTTTCCATGTGTCTTTTAATTTTTTTTCAACTTGGTAAAGTCTTTTGGTGATCAAAACTTTAGAATTTTTATGAGGTCCTATTTATGTTGTCTATTTGTTTGTGCTTTTGTTATACTAAACAATCTATCATTAAAAGCTAGGCTTAACAGCATTTAGTCTTAAATATTTTCTTGTTTTAGTTTGCACATTTGGGTTCTCAATCCATCTAGAATTTTGTTTTGGTCTATGGCATGATCGTTTTCCTGTTTCTGAATGTTGGCATCCAATTTCCGCAGCACCATGTATTGAAAAGACTCACGTTTCCCTATGAAACTAACTTAGCTTTTGACTCATGTAAAAAATCAGTTGACCACTGATGTGTATTTATTTCTGGAATCCCAATTCTACTCCATTGTTCTGTGTGTCTATTATTATACCAGCACCAGGTTGTTTTGATTATTCTAGCAGTATGTTTTAAAATCAGGAAGTGAGAGTCTTCCTACTTTGTTCATTTCTTTCAACATCTTGTTAGCTATTTCATGTCTCTTGCTATTCCATATACAGATGAAGATTTGTTTTTCCATTTGTGGAGAAAGGCTTAATGGGATTCTGCTTGGGAATGCATTGAAATATACAGACTTCTTTGGATAATTTTGATCTGTTAATGTTAAGTCTTCCAATCTGTAACCATGATCCATCTTTCCATTTACTTAAGTCATCTTTTCCTTCTCTCCGCAACATTTTCTAATTTTCCCAGGACTTAACTAGTGTGAGTCATTTCGTTACTAAAAATCCTTTGGTTGATTGCAATTATTTACGTAACTACTAACAGGCAACAATTCTTTTGTTGCTCTTTTAAAAATCTTTTTATTGTCTAATTTGGTCTTGAATGTTTTCTTGTTAATTCAACAAATATTTATACTCTGTGCCTACAAGAGCTAGGAATATAGCCAAGAATCAAGACAGCCATCACAGAGCTTACATTTTAGTAAAGCAAACAATGTCAGCACATCAACATAGGTGATCTCAAAGAGTGGTAAATTTAGAAGAAAACAAAATGCTGGGTGCAAGGACTAATTTCGACAGGGTGGTCTATCTAAGGAACTTCTCTTAAAGAGGATATTTGGACTGAAAGATACACATTTAGCTGTTTGAAGATCTGGGAAAAAGAGCTCTTGAGAAGGGGGTCAGGGGGGAGCTCTGGTGGCCTAGTGGCAAGACGCTGCACTGCAATCCCAGAGGAACACGGTTCGAATCCACCAGATGCTCTGCCGGAGAAGGAGGCGCAATATCCTCCTGTACCAGTCAGATCTGATTTGACGGTACACGCACACAAAATAATAATAAAAAAAAAAAATTAAAAAAAAAAAAAGAAGGGGGTCAGCAAGCATGAAAAGTCTAAAGCAGGACCTTTCCTTGGGTTGATCCTAGGACAGAAAGATAAGTGTAACTAAAAGCAAAGTCAAGAAGGGGAATGATAAATAAGAACAGAGATTAGAGCAGGTTTTCAGAGGCAGTTTATCACAGAGGAGTGTGGAGCAGCTGGTGGATTCAAACCCCATGTCTTCAGGAGGGCAATGCAGTTTCTCACTAGGAGGCCACCAGTGCTCCCTTTTCTTATAGTTGTTGATTGCTATGGAGTCGAGTATGACTCGTAGCAACTCTATGAACAAAAAACCTGAAGCCTTTCTATAATTATTATATTTTCTCATAGTTTCCAGAGGCATGTTGTTTAGGTACTGGATACCACTCCTTATAGTAAGAAGTAGAATTTTATCCCATCTGCCATGAAAATTCACAGAGAGTTTGAGATGGTGGAATTGCTGAGTTTGATTTTGAAGGCAGTGTGGCCATGGGCTGGGGGCAGGTAGCAGTGACAGGACAAGGAGACCAGTTAGAAGGCTGTAACCCAGCCAAGAGTGAAGGAGACCCAGACTGGCTTGAGTGGGTAAAACGGATGGAACAGGATAGTGGTTCCAGCATGTACCTTTGGTAGTAGAACTCACCAGACCAACTCAGGACCTGCTGGTGAACTAGATGTGAGGGCCAGCTAACTCTGTCTTACTTCTAACAAGAGATGAAGCCTCTCCATGGCCAAGTCTTCTTTCTCTCCTCTTGCCACCTTTGGAAGCAAGAAGCCTCTGAGGCTTTTAGTCTATTCTGAGACCTAAGGTGCTTTTAGATTGTGGGAATTCAGATTAGGGTGGGTTTGATATGAATTCCAGGAGAACAAAGCGAGAACTGTCAGGCCACCAGAGCCCAGAGTACCTTCTGCCTGTTGAGTTGACGTGTGAATGGTGTTCCTGTTACAACACTGCCATCCAATGGTGATGAAGTCAAACTGCAAGGGCTGGATTCCTAATAATCTGAGCTTTCCGGTCACATTCTAGGTTTTTAAGTGGACTGGAAGCAACTCTTTCTTTGTCAAAGGAGACCTGGATTCACTGATGATGGGCAGTGGCAGGTGAGTGAGTGTCTCAGGCCTCCCTGAGCCATAGGGTGGTGTATTCTAGACCTTTCCCTTCCTCACTTGCTGGGGGCTTGGCTGCCACGGGTGAGACTATGCTGGTGGGTTTTTTTGTGGTTTCTCTGGGTTTTTTTAAAAAACATGGACCAGAGTTTATTAGTGGTTACCAGAGGCAGGAGGAAGGGGAAAAGTTAAACACAGGGATAAACAACATAGTCAATAAATATTTTGGTTCCTGTATTTAGCCTTTAAATTTTTTTTCTTTTAAATAAAAAGATTAGAATGTTCTTAGTGGCCCTGCAAATATTGAGATGTTCACAACTTAAAACAGCCCATTAAAATTTTCATAAGTTCAAAAATGAATACCTGTGCAACAAAGAATGATTTGAAACCCTAAGTCTCTGTAAACTTTCATTAAAATTAATTTTAAAAATTCACAAAAGGAAAAAATATATATAAAAGATGCATACCTGGAGGTAATATATCTATATCTATACACACACACACACACACACCTCTTAAAGTGGTAAACAAAATAAACAGAAAAATTTATACTGTATTATTCTCATTACATAAAGTAGAAAACTGACAAAACTAATCTACTAAACACAAAGCAAGATACTGGTTATTAAGGGAAATAGCAGTGACTGAAAAAAGTTCTGGGCTGCATGTTATTTAAGTTCTAGACCTATGTGCTTATTTACATTGGTGTGTTTGCTTTTGAAAGGAAGCTGGTCCCATCCCGTCAACACTCCCACCACCGCCCAGCCCCCTCCAACTCCCTCAGTCCTGTGTCAATTCAACATTTGGGGGGGAGAAATGGCATGAACTCTCCCACCAAAGTGATTACAAGCTGGGACAACTTATCCTGAATTTATGTTATTTGGGAATGGAATTCCCTATGATTAGATGAGGCTAGAGAACAATGGACTAGGCAAGCTTCAAGTTTATCAGGCAGCCCTGCAATCCAGAGCTCTGTGTGAAGGTAGTTGGGTAGAAAAGATTAATCTCACCCCTGGTGTGAGCTTCAAATTTACAGGGAGTTAAGGTTTCTCTGAGGGTGAAGATGAAAGTGTTGCTTGATCAGCACAAGTTCTTTGCTCTCCCTACTGCTAGAAAAGCCTGGTGAGAGGCAGCTTAATTTGTGGTAATTCACTTCCGGGCCAGAGCCAAGCAGAGCTCTCCAGTCAAATGAAGGCTTAAGAATGAAGGGTCTCTCAAGTGTTGGGCTTTTCAGAGTCCACAGTTGGGGGCTCATCCTTCCGTTAAGTATTTCCATCTTAAAAATATTCCCAAATGGAATGGTGATGTTCAAACCACGGTACATATTTTTTAGAACAATTTGGTTTTTGATAACATAAAAAGCTCTAAACTTTAAATCATGTGGAGAACACCACCCAGAGTGCCCAACAATTCATGATGCATTGGTTCAAGAGACGCTGGAACAGGTAGGCTGTAGGCAGGGTAGACTGCAAGCTCTCAACCGCAGCAGTGAGCCATGCCAAGCTTTCGCTCTTCTCCTCAGTGGCCACTTTGGGCTGTGGTTGGACGGAGACTTGTACCACGGGGGAAGCCATCCCTGTGCGACCTTCAACAACGAAGTGCTGGCCCGGCAGGAGCAGTTCTGCATCCAGGAGCTGGAGGCCTGGGCCCTGAGCTGACAGCTGTGGTGGGGTGAGGCAGCTTCCTGTGATCACAGGTATTGGACCCTGGCTAGTGGATGCCTCTCGGCCTCCCTCCCACAGGCAGCATGGGGCAGCCTGATCTGTAGGACCGTGATCTATGGACCATGAAGCATCTCAGCATTGACTGTGGCTGTCATTGGCTTTGCTGTCACCTTGGGACCAAGACTGGAATGGAGGACAGCATAGCTATTTGGGAGAAGCAATTGTGAAAAAGTGAATGGGACTCACAGCTTGTCCATGAGGTACAAAGCCCCTCATGAAAACGACCTTGTGAGAAATGATACATGATGCATGCCAGTATAATAAATGTTGTAGACATAAAAAAAATGAACATTTTAAAGTATATCCTTCTAAACAATTCCACAGGGATATATATATACACACACACATATATAAATTAGAATCTATATGTTTTGGAAGTTATTTTTAATTTAACGGTTGTTAAACCAAGGGAGCTCTGGTGGCCTAGTGGCAAGAAGCTGCGCTGTAATCCTGAAGGTGCATGGTTTGAATCGACCAAATGCTCCACGGGAGAATGAGGAGAAATCTCCTCCTGTGCCAGTCAGATCTAACACACCAAGGGAAATAAATTTGTTTTTTTTAAAAAAGGAAAAAGGTTGTTAAACCAAATAAATCTGGGCTCAACTGAAGTAATAAAAAATATCAGTATCAGCCTTCCTTTTGCCCTGCTGTGATTCTGGGACACTAAGGGCCTTCTCTCCACCATCAAATTAAAAAAAATCACCTAAATGTTTACAAATTCATTACCTCATTTAATTTCATAAAGATGTGAAAGCAGCAAATAAGCAATGTACATATCTGCACAAAGAGTGTGAAACCTCTGTAGGGGGAATTTCAGAGATGCTGAAAGGAAAGAAAGAAGGAATTTATTTCCTGGTACAACTGGAGCCCAGAAAACCAGGAAATAAATCCCTTCCTCTTTCCATCTAAGTGTCTGCCTCCTGCCAGAAGGAAATATCATTGTAGCATCCCTTGGTAGCTACTGAACAAAGAAAATAGTTCAATACCAACGCCTCTAGCAAACCCAATGTTGTTATGTGCTATCAAGTTGGAAATAACTCATAGTTGACACTCTAGTGGTTTTTCAGAGGCTGTAAATCACTAAGGTAGAGACTGCTCATATTTCTACCCCTGAGCAACTAGTGGATTAAAACTGCAAGCCTTTGGGATTGCAGTGCAGCTTCTCGCCACCAGAGCTCCCCTGGGTACATTCCTATACATTCAGTTCTTGTGCATGAAAGTGTCAAAACGGGTGTGTGTGTGTGTGGGGGGGTGGAGTGCAACAGAGTAACAAAGGAGAACACTTTTGATGTCAAGATGGAAATACATTCACAAAGTTTTATTGCAACCGGTTCCCTCACCCAGCTGAAGTAACCAGTCATTTCTAGCTTGCAGTTCTGCATTCTCAAGGGGACAATGTTCAGCAACTCCAGAGGCTAAGCTCTCAGTCTCCCTTTTAAGAATAATAATGCAGATATTTCTTTAAACTTTATCCTTGTAAACAGCATCGTTACAACATCTGCAAAGAGTAGCTGCTTTACATGTAACAAAAAAGGCAAACAAAACAGACTCAAATGTTTCAGATAGCTCAGTGCTATAGTATCAGAACTGAAAAACTCCGGAGTAAACATAATTATCTCAAGGTAGGATATTAGAAAATATAACTAAAAATTATTACATTCTTGACCTTGTGTCTGGGCACACAGGGTAAGCGAAATCTGAAGGGCTCCCCAGTGGATCTTTTCAAGCGCTTGGCTAGGACGGATATGGCAGCAGGTCTCAAGCAGATCCCACATGTGCTCCTACGAGCCCACGGTATAAACCCATCTGTAGGGGATTACTGTGGGGGCGGGAAGAGAATGCATTCAACTATTATCCTACAAATCAAAGTTAAGCCTTAATTGTCTCACGAGGGGTTGAGTAGGGGCAATACGACAAGATGGCAAACATCTCAAATAACTATACCCTAGTGTCATAAGAACAGAACAGTGGAAGGCAAGAGTGGTCCCGACACACATGTCAACTGCTGGCCTGTGGTCTGAGTTCCTCCTGCTTGCTCTAGCTGCCTCCTCATGCCCACCTCATTCAGGAGGTCCTTGCCAAAGGTACACCAAAGGATGAGATGTCTGAACCTATGACTTCCATTCTCCACTGCTCTCTGAATCTTCATGACCATTTGAACATTACTAGCTTGGGTGTCATGGATTTCTGTAGATCGAGGGATGGGAGGGGTTACCATGGGCACAGAAGGAGGGCTCACTAGTGGTACCTACTCCACTCTTAAACCAAAGACCGAGTGCTGGGAAAATAAAGTTACTCGGGAGAATCTGGATCCCCTGGCTAAATTGTAATCTCAGCATAGGCACTGCTATTTTTGCTGATACCTGTAAGATGAAGTCCCAGCATTGAGCAGATCCTGAGGTAGGTCCCTGTGACATCCTCTAATCCCCTCACAAGAGAGATACAGACGGGAGGCCAAGCAAGGAAAGCCCTAAAACTTGGATAGTTCAGTCAGAGGAGAAAGAAACTGCCTTGGTCTAAAATCACAGCTGACATTCAAGAGCAGGCAAGTTTGGGAGATCTCTATCACTGATACTACGAAAGGTGGTTTTGTGTCTCACTTAAGAGGCCAAAGCCTACAGATCTTCTGAATCGTAAGTCTTTCACCAAAGAGCTGGAGGCTACTCCTAGATCTCATCTCCTGCTATTTACTCCAATCTGGCAGTGCAGAAGAGTTACAATGGCCAGAGAAGGTGTCCTTCACTCACCTTCAGACAACTTAAGAGGATGATCCCCACAGGAGTTTGTTTTATTTCTAACCATAGCTATCCCTGACCATTCCAATTTCAAATTGCAACATATACCCTTGTCTCATTTCCAAATCTTTAAAGAAAAATTTGTCATAAGAGTATGTTGTTGTTATTGAGTACCACTGATACAGAATCAAATCATAGCTGACCTTCCAGAGGTAGTCTTATCACACGGGAGAAGATTTGCCATCCTTCTCCTGAAAAGCAGCTCAGAGATTTGATTTGAACCATGTTCCTTTGGGATTGCAATGCAGCTTCTTACTATTAAGCCAAAAGAACTGGTATTCTAAGAAAATAGAACACTACGCAAGAAAATCTTTTATTATTATTAAAAATAAGCAATAAGCTCTTTTGTGTCAGGAAGTGTGAGGACGGTGCAGGATAGAAGAGTGTTCAGAGCTTTTGTTCACAGGGTCACTATGAGTTGTACTCAACTTGATGGCACCTAACAACAAACAACATACTTTTCATAGCATGTATACAAAGATCTGTCTATTATCTGTTTCTCAGACTTAATAATTACTTAGCTGCAGTATGTGCATACATTCAAAGTACTGGAAAAGGTTCCGGACAGAGTGGAAGGAAAATGTAAAACAAAATTAAAAAACATAAAAAACGCTCAGACTTGTTGGTTTTAGAGACTGGTGGGCCCCTGAGACTATGGCCACCAGTCACCATTACAACCTGGAGCTAAACTCACCCCGTGGCTCAACTTCCATTAAAACAACAGACACTATAAAGTGAACAGTTAACACCAGGGAGGGATTCCTTAGAACAGCCAATCATACAGAGTCAAATGGGGATTTTCTGTCCAGGGATAAAGGCAGGAGAGGGGAGGATAAAAGGATTAATGGAAATGGGCATCATGGGAAGGAAGTGGGAAGAATGTGGTTATAAAGTGGGTACTGTAATGTGTATCATAAAACAAAGTATGCATGAATGGTTCAACAGAAAGTCAATGTGTTTTGTAAACTTTCATTCAAGTAAAATGAAAATATTTATGAAATAAAAAAATACTGGTCATCATTAAATTTGTGGAACTGTGAATCCCCTAAACTACGTTGGGGAGGGAGAGGGAGAGAGATTGAACTTCTTCTCACATGCACAAAGGTCAGTCCTTAAAATTCTGCACTCTGGAATCTGGATCATTCTCGGTGGTGAACTGCATGCTGGGCTATATCTGGGCAATCCCACTTCCATATTCAAGGTGCTCTGTGTGTGTCACTATCCTGAAAGGAAGAGAGAACAGTGGGACAGCAAGAAAGGCCAGTTACATAACTGAGTGAGGGACTAAGGTCCTGTTAAGAAAGGACATATGTCCTTTTCTTATAGTATAGTTTATTTTGTACATAGTTTGGGTCAAACTACACACATCATTCTACTATCAATTCTTAAACAAAAACATGAATATTTCTGTCTTGTGCTGAAAACACTTCAATGACTCTTCATTGCTATTGGTTTGTAAGATTATGGGTAATGTCTTAGTCCCTTCCCAACCTATGTTCCTTCCTGAACACACCACTTCCTTATCTTCTATCATGACCCAACTCTGCTGCTAGTTCAACACCCCAGCTACCCTGTGTCCTTTATCCTGCTAACTCCATTACATACATCCTTGGGTTCTCAGTATCTAAATATTTTTTTAACATCTAAATCTTTTAAGGGCATCTTTCCTGACTAACCAAGGCCCTGCTTGAACCCTGCCCCCTCCTTTCTACTCCTCTAAGCCTCTGCACTCCTTCATCATGATACTCGCCACACCAATGAAATTGTTAAACATTTGTGTTTATTGTATGCACCTAGAGAGAAATACATGGAAATAAAGAACTGTCATGTTAATTAAAATTAAATAAATAAATAAAATCCCAAACCTACTGTCATTGTATCAATTCTGACACAAGGTAAACCTTTACTGGGGTTCTGGGGCTATAAATCTTTATGGAAAAGAGTCTATCTTTATTCTGTGGAGCTTCTGGTGGATTTGAACTGCTGACATCTTGGTTAACAGGCCAAGAGGGAATGCACTATGCTACCAAAGCTCCTTTATGTCATCTTCCAAACCCTCTGCGCTGCAATCAATTCTACCTGAAGGTGACCTTTCAATGGGTTTTGGAGGATATAGACTTTCTATAAAGAAAAAGAAATCTCTCTTCTATTGAGATGGTGACACCACCTGCTGATCTTTCATACAACACAATGCTCCCAGTGCTCCTTCTGTCATGCTGTTGTTTGATGCCATCAAGTCAACTATGACTCATAGATCTCAACATTGCTTTGTCCTGTGCCATCTTCACAATCTCTGATCTCTGAGATCTTCGAGTCCATTGTTAGTCACTGTGTTAAGTCCTCTTGTTGAAGTTTTCTTTTCCTCTCTTCTCCAGTATGTCTTTTTCAGAGGTCTAGACCCTTCTGACCACATGCCCAAAGTATGTGAGTTAAGGTTCACCATCCTTGCCTCTAAGGCATACCCTGGGGCTTGCATCTCCTCCAAGACGGACTTGCTGATTCTTCTGGCAGTCCATGGGATATTCAGTATTATTCTCCAACACCATAATCAAATTCATCAATTATTTAATCATCCTTGTTTATTATGCAATTTTCAGACACATAAGGAGCAAATGAACAAACCATGGTTCAGATCAGGTAAACCTTCCTGACATCTTTGCACGGTGGATTTTCCCCAAGGTAATACCTCATTCGATTTCTTGACTGCTGTGGCCATGGGATCCAAGCAAAATGAAATCACTAACAACTTCAATAGTCTCTCCATCTATCCTTCTATCATGATATTCATCAAGTGGTGAGGAATTTTGTTTCCCTGATGAAATCCATTCTGAAAGCTGTCATTTTAGGTATTATTAAGTTCCTCGGAACTAAGACAGGGCCTGGAAAATATACCTGTTAAGGAGCAAATGTACCTCAGTTTCAAGTATTTACACCACATTGCTGAAACTTTTTTTCCCAATTACAAAAATATGGAATGCTTCATAACTTTGTGTGTCATCCTTGCACAGGGGCCATGTTAATCTTCTCTGTATCGTTCCAATTTTGGCATATGTGCTGCCGAAGCGAGCACATTGCTGAAACTTTAATAGCCTCATCTCTGCGTCCAGTCTATCCAAGTTCCAGTTCATTTGCCACTGGAGCCTTCTTTCTTAGTTTCCTTAGGAGTTAAGAGTTGCCTTATTCTTAGATCGGACTCCAGGAGGACAAGCACATGCACATAAAACCCCCACACTGAATCCACAGCTGTGGAGGTGACTGACTGACTCACAGCCACCTCTTGAGGTACAGGATAGAACTGCTCCATGGGGTTTCCTCGGCCGCAGTCCTTACAGAAGCAGACTGCCAGGCTTTCCCTGTGGTGCTGCTGGGAGGGAACAGTTACTAACCTTTAGTTTAGTAGCTGAGAGTGAAAGGTTTTTGCCACCCAAGGCCCTCAACAAACAAGTGATAATTACAGTAGTGTGCTAAACCTTGAACAGCCTGTATGATTCCCTCCATGGTTCAGACCAAATCCACTGCCAGTGAGTCAATTCTGACCTTTCGTCAGGTTTCTGAGGTAATACGTCTCTGTGAGAGGAGACTACCCACCTTCCTCCCACAGAGCAACCGATGGATCCAAACCATCAATCTTTTGGTTTGCAGTCCAATATATTAGGTAGTACAATACTAGAGATACTTCATCATGGCTCACAAAGTAAGAAAAACGCCCTTTCCTATCTGATTATGCTAGGTTTTCGACATCTACTCTGTTTTGTTCATTTAGCTTCTCAGTCTCATACTAAGAATATTCTACTCCAATCAAACTGGTCTCTTGATGCCCTAAGTGGTTTTATACTGCTTTCAATTTCAAAATGTGCCCCCTTCTCCCTGCAATGTATCTGGATACAACTCAGCTTTCCGAGTTTAACAGAACCCTCCCTCTGTCACAAAGCTTTTTTGAAAGCTCTCCTAACTCTCTGAATCATAATGGAATTTATTGTGTAATTCCTGCTGGCATTTGATGACGTTCCAACTTTCTGAGCTACTCTTTTATGACTTAACTTTCCCTCTCTGTTCCCTTCAGCACATAAAAATAACCATGAAACTAAGAAAATACTAGATTAGGGACAGAATGCTGAGTCCCATCTCCTTGCCTACTACACTCATTCATTCAGTCAAGAAACATCAGTTACTCACTTTCTTTGTGCCAGACACCTACCACATATACAACAATAAGGTACACTTTTAACCACATTCTCTACCAGCTCGAAATCCCAGCTGGGCTCTGCTTCCTTTTGTTAATTACTGTTATGTGCTGTCGAGCTAGAACTGACTCACGGCTGATCCTCCAGTGGGTTTTCAGAAGTTGTCAACTGTAAAAAGGAGACTGCTCATTATTCTCCCAAGACAGCTGGTAGATTTGAACCACTTGCCTTTGAGTTGGCAGTGTAACTCCTTATTACAAAGCCATTAGAGAATGTACTGACATAAAACCAGATTTGGAACACTATAATATAGAAAGAAGAAATTTGAAAAACTTGTATGTGGCCTTAAACAAGTTTACTCAAAACCTGAACAAGTTTACTCTAAACAATCTACTCAATTTATTAACCAGAGTATGGGATCACTTCCTGTCTCCCAGGGACACTGGGAGGTGTGGCCACAACACTGCTGAGAACATTAATAAAAAGCACTGTCACCGACAAACAATCTGCCCATTCTCAATTGGTGGAGGAAGAAACCAAGGTTGGACAGAGATTAAGACATTTTGAAGTGAAAGTTTAAGTAGGAAGATTTCATTTTGAAAGCCATAACTAAATGACTATAATTTAAGCTACTTTCCAGAGCCCACACAGTATCTTTTCAGAATGTATACAAACTGAGTAAAGTATGAATAATAACTACCCACCTATGGGGTGGTGAAACCTCTGATTGAGCACCACTGAACAAAATGTTGTTGTGCAGCATACAAGCTCTTGTTATCGGTCTTCTTACAGTACACTCTTATCAGCTGCTCTGCAAATCTCTCTGGTAGAAGCTGTGAAACCTTTTTAAAGGAAGAAAAGATTTCATTGTTACCCTAAATACACCAGGCCTGTAAGTGGTTCTTCCCATTTCAGTCATGAATGAGGAAGCAAAGCCAGAATAGACCTGAAGTTTTAAAATTTGGTTGAACTAGAATAACCAGGATCGGAAATATGATGCGTCAAGTACCGCTAAAAATGTGATCTCCGGGAGCTCTGGTGGCCTAGTGGCAAGAAGCTGCACTGCAATCCCAGAGGCACATGGTTCAAATCCACCAGATGCTCTGCCGGGAAAAGGAGGGACATCTCCTCCTGTACCAGTCAGATCTGATTTGACGGTACATGTAAAAATAATACAATAAAAAAAAAAGTGATCTCCCTTATAGAATTTAAGAGGAAGAGCAGAGCTGGAAACAGTGGTGCCCTGATCAAAGATGGCGCCCAACCAAGCTTCTTGGAACAGGTGTCACTCGTCATAGTCCTCCTACGAATCCAATCTCATGCATCGATTCTGGAAGGGCTCATTATTCCTCTTAGGGAGACTATCAGTCTAGGGCTTTGACCTATAATTTTACTTGTTATAGTTATTACTCTAGATTATCCAAATATGAAAAATTCGTTTTTTTCTGGTTTTACTTCATTGCCTATGACTGAATCATTTAGCAATGGTTTAAAGCTCAATGAAGTCCACTGACACACTGGAGATAGATCAGCTTTTCCCCAAACTTCTAAGCAGCATTAAAAAAAAAAAAAGAATATTATATTTGCCCTCATTCACCTTAATCTACTTATTAATTTTTACTCTGCTGTTCCTCCTAAATAGTATTTTTGATGTTACATTTAAATACCACTTTCTTTTGCTTTTTAATCCCATCTGTTCACAGAATTTGTGATAGTTGTCCTATTGCAAAATACTCAATTTTATGACAGCTAATAAAAAACTAAAGGTTTGAATCACACATATACATTATATATAGAAAAATACTACACGTCTGGATCATATATATTATATATAATATACTACAGAGTTTCATAAGATAGGAATTAAGCACCTATAACTTCTATGAAGCCAACTATATAGCTAGTCTCCACTGAAAAATCAGAGGTTTTCATCCATTATTAGCAAACAGGAAAATCTGGCTCTTCAGATGGTCAAGTCTATAACTTTAAAAGAAATACCTCCACCCCCCCTTACATGATGACTTTAGAACCTAACCTGCACACAAAATGCAAATTTACCAAAAGGATTTGTCATGTCACTATAGCATATTTCTTTTACTGAAGGAGACAGTTAGTTACCTGATCTTTAGCAATCATGACTGCTTTGTTGGGGTCATTCTTATAATAGAAGTGAACATGATCAATAGGATTCTTGTCCTCCATTCCATAATCCATATTGATAACCTTAATAAAAGAGACAAGTGCTCAGTTCCATAGCAACCATGAGAATTGAATTTGGGGTTTTGAGGCATCACAGGAAAAGGAACAGAGCTCTCAGGAGGTCAGAAGCAAGTGCACTGGTGAGTGGCTGACAGTGGGACAAAGTCTGATGCATGATCAGGGATTTGTTTTGAAATCTAAGGGAAAAGAAAGTACTTGTAGATTCAACACCTATTGTATGAAAGACACTATGCTGAGCATCAAGATACAATAGAGATATTATTTCTAAAGTTCTAGGTTCCACAGACCTGGCTTAGACAGAGATTGAAAAAAACAGAATAAACACTGCAAAAGTTGGAACGTGTGTGGTGTGGAAACCTTTCAGAAAGAAAAACTTAGGAGAAGGAATATATTAAGTATGTGGTGAGCACCAGTGAAAGACGACTCTGACAGGTTTCAGGGTAATTCTATTTGTTACCAAAGAGAAGGAAAAGGAGTTGTAAACTATAAAGTAAGGGATCTCATAAAGGCTGTAGGGTCCTGGCAGGATAATGTTAATGGTCAATTGTCAAATGCAAGGCCTGTACTTCAAATCTACTCATTATTCCACAGGAGAAAAGACATGGTGACTTGCTAATGTAGAGATCACAAAGTAGGAAACCCTAGGAAACTCTAACCTATTGTTGGAGTTGTGTGCCATTGAGTTGGAACTGACCCACAGCTGGTTTTCAGAGGTAGTTAATCAAACAGGAGGAGACTGCCCATCCTTCTCCCACGAAGCAGCTGGTGGATTAGAACTGCATGCCTTCGTGATTGCAGAGCAGCTTCTTACCACTAGGCCACATAGGATCACAATGAACTGGGTCTACTCAACAGCACTAAGTGAGGCTAGAATGCAAGGGGGATGACGGCAAATGTTTCCTGGGAAAGTGACTTTACTAAGTGACCAGTATTTAATGAAAGTGTAACAGACACAATCAATTACGTGTTACTAGCTGAAAACCTGGCAGTTCAAACCCACCCAGAGGTTCCTTGGAGGGCAGGCCTGGTGATCTGCTTCCCAAAGGTCAGAGGCCAGGGAGTTTTGGCAGCCTAGCTCAGGAGCTGCACTGTCAGCCCAAAAGGTCAGCCTTAAAAACCATGGGGAGCAATCTATTGTGTACACATAGAACGAGAAGAAATGAAAAGAAGACAGAAGAAAAAGAGCACGAGAAGACAGCTTTCAAATGCGATTGCTAAGAGGTGCCAAGCGTGAGGTGCCCAGAGCGAGATGTATTACCAAGGAAAACTAACAGAGGCAATTCTTCAACACGATTCACCCTGAAGAAGAGTGAAGAGAAGTGCAATGTGTGCTATTTTAAGATGAAAACAACACCTCATTTTCTTAAGATGAAAACAGCGCGTTTAACTGATGAAGCAAAAGTCAAAAGGAGGGGAGACAGATACTGTGGGGTTCAAAAAAAAGTTACAGGAAAACAAACTCTACAACCCCAACATTTACCATATGTCTTACCTTTTTAAACTTAATATAAATTAACATTAAAGATGATATAAAAAATCAGTCCTTCAGGTGCAGCAGATATATTTCTAATGGCCAAATGCCACATGTGGCCACTGAAATGGTGAGGAAGGAGACAGAAGGATTCATTCACTAGAGAAAGTTCCTAATGGGAAAAGGTGCCCCAGACAGCAAGTGGAAGGATTACACTTGGCCTCTGATAAGGAAGACACTTCCCTAGTGTCACAAAGGAAAGGCTCAACAGGGCTCCAGGAGGAGGTAAGTTTGTTATCTGATAGCTGACTGAGGCCAAGTCTTACCTAATGGCCCATTGTTTTCATTCTGCAATCAGAGCCCAGACTGAATAATTTACTGGGTAGGGATACTGATGGGAGCTGGAGATCTGGGAGGAGTGAAGAGGGTGTGAGAGATTGGGAGAATTGCACTAAGCTGCTGGGGATACAGAGGGCTCTATTAGGGTTGGTGACTGAATTCATTTCTAGAGATGCCAGTATAGTGATCTCTTCCAGCAGCACTGATCTACCCAGGTGGAAACAGAGAACTTTAGATTCAAGCAGATCATTTGGCATTCTGGTAGGGTGACACCTAAGAGGGGCATGAGAGTTGAAGGGTAACTGTAAAAGGAAATGGAGTAAGTGATCACTGAATGTGTCAATTAGACTGGGAAAAAAACAAAAAAATACAAGGCTCCTGACCACTGGAAGAAGATAAGGACACAATACAAACTAGACAGCCTGATGATGTAAGAGGCAGCAAAGCAGGAAGACCAGCTTTTGAGTGGAGAACTAAACACCAAATAAAATCCACTGTCACCAAACAGATTCTGATTCAGAGTTCTTACAGAACAGAACAGAGCAGAACTGCTCCACAGGTTTCCAAGGCAGTAAATTTCAACAGAAGCAAACTGCCTTATCTTTCTTCTTCAGAGGCAGTTCAGTGGGTTCAAAGCATCAACCTAGGAACTGCAGCCAATGGTTTTAACCATTATGACACCAGGGCTCAAAACAGAGAACATAATGCTTACTGGTTTTAGAAGGAGAGCAATTTTGAGTATGATAACTTTCAGCAAGTTATCTACTGAGAGTGTTGGCTGAGGTTAACTAGAAAATGTCCTTGGGGATGAAGACAAAGAGATCGAAGAGATAGTTGGTCACATGAACCAAGAAATCATTGCCTTGGATATTGGCAGGAATTAAGAATGTAGAGAAAGACTCTAATACATGGCAAAATCTTCAGCAGTAGATGGTAAGAGGCTGGATGTGGTTTGAGGAGAGCCTCAGAGGACAGGGGTCTTCCACAGGTCTTTGAAATGATACCGGAAACAAGACCACTGATGAACAGGAAGGTCTCCTCACCCTGAGGAATAGGCTTTTCAAGAAAGGGCTGCATCAGAAGCAGATTCTCAGGGGATAGCCAGGGTGCAGTAAAGGCATCAAGATAGAGGAGAAGCAAGAATTTGCTAAATATGAGATGTAGAGATGATGGTGGGTGAAGGGATGGGTGAGAAGAGGAACTTAAACAGTGAGAGACTGAAAAAACAGACACATGATGCCTGTTGGATAAACTGCCTTAAGTCTGAGAGAAGAGTGGGTGGATAGGACTCCGATATAGCCCAGAAGGAGAAAGGGTAGCTGAAGTACACAGCAAACTGCCCCATTCCCTGTGGACCACTGCATCCCCTCACCTGGGAGACGGGAGAGCAAAGGCTCGGCCCTCCCCTGGACTACCGACCTGTCATTGTCACAGTCTCTCTGCAGGGTGTTGTTTCATTTTCGGGGTATACGCTGCAGCCTTAACACATCATGGTAAGGCACGAACACTAGTCGAATCCTCAGGAATATTTAAGCTAGTCGAATCCTCAGGAATATTTAAGAAGTGCCACTAGTTCTTTGGTACTTAGTTCCCTGGCTTCAAAATTGGAATAAAAAACAATCTCTATTTTCTCCTCAATATATTACAGAAAACTTCTCTAAATCAAATGTGCTAAACCATATATTTTCCAGAAAGATAATCTGTTGAGGATTCCATTCTTGACCAGTCAAATAAAAAAAGCAGCTACAGACTAACAATGGATCTTTGTAATAATTCTACAAGACAAAATTAAACTTTATATACTGTTTTGGGTTTGTTTTTTTCACACTCATTGTGTGCTATCGAATCAGATCCAACTGGCACAGGAGGAGACTGCCCCTCCTTCTTCAGCAGAGCATCTGGTGGATTCAAACCACGTGCCTTAAGGATAGCAGCACAGCTTCTTGCTACTAGGCCACCAGTGCTCCTATGTACTGTTCTTGTTGTTGTTAGGTTCCTCTTCATAAAGTACTGAGGGTAAGGCACAGAACTGCAGTTTGCCCTCCACACCTGGGGCATTCTGACCAGCAGTCAAGTGAGTACAGACTGAGCCCACTGCATCCGTTGGCGAAGTACAACTCTGGAGAGATCTGAACCTCAAGGACAAATCAACAGGAAAGGAACAGATGAGACATTGTCTTGTTTGGTCTCTATTCTTCCCCACTGACTGGTCTGAAACAAATCTAAGACACTAAATGATCTTCAAGGTGTATTTTGCTTTGATTTTTTTAAAAAAACTTCCGGCGAGCTCTGGTGGCCTAGAGGCAAGAAGCTGCACTGGAATCCCAGAGGTGTGCAGTTTGAATCCATCAGACGTTCTGCCAAAGAAGGAGGGGCAATCTCCCCCTGTACCAGTCAGATCTGATTTGACGGTATTCGCACACACACGAATAATAATAACATTTAAAAAACCTTCCAATGAAAAAAATTTCACAGTTAGTATGTTGTACCTCAAAGAGTATATTGTTTGGAGATTTCAGGAGAGAATTCCAAAGATTTTTTACTGGAAACAGAAGAAAACCTCTCATTAGAAAACTTTTCCTTTGGGAGTATGTGGGTCATCTAAAAAATAACAAGGCATGCATGACTTTTGTGAACAGAAAGACATTAAAAAAATGTACCATGTTCTGTTGTTGTTGATTGCCATCGAGTCAAGCATGACTCACAGCTACCCTATTAACAAAAGACCTGAAGCCTTTCTACAACTATCATTGTTTCTCAAAGTTCATAGAGTTTCCAGAGGCATGTTGTTTAGGAAGTGGATGCCACTCCTGCTTCCAAAATACAATGTTCTATTCGCCATATATCTTCTCCTACGCAGTTTACTGCCTCTGAAAACCCACTGGAGGGTCGGCAAAGGGTCAGTTCAGACTCCATGATACACAGCACACACATTAGCCACATAGAAGAGATTTGTTGGCAGACTGGTTAAAGCGTTGAGCTGCTAGTCAAGAGATTCCTGGGAGAAAGATGCAGTCATTTAATTTCATGAAGATTAAAGCTTCAGAAACCCTGTGGTACAAGAACCATTCTGTCCTACATGTTTGTTATGAATTAGAAGAGACTTGACAGCAGGATTTGATTTTTTGGGGGAAGTCTAGTGGGTAAGAAGTTGTGCTGCTAATCCAAAAGCAGGCAGTTTGAATCTATCAGCTGTTCCTCTCGAGAAAGATGCACACTTTCCTTCCACGCATGAGAGGTTTTGTACAGAAAATAACAGAAGCCATATGATTACATTGATATTATCCACAATGATAATTTTTGTGTTCAAAGAAAATAATAAAAAACTATTTTCCAATTTTTATAATCAATGTGGATTATGTTTATAATAATAAGATCTTTGTTTTTCTTATAAAAAGAAAAAAAGCCTTGACTGATAATATATTGGGCTAACTACTTACATCCACTATGAAATCTTCAGCTTTCAGTTCAGCCTGTAGCAATACACTGGGTTTAGCATCAGCAACTTCCTGTGGAAGGGATTTATAGTCTTCCTAGAAAAGACAAGAGCCCCGCAGGTCAGAACTCTACTTTCCATTATTAAATATTTAAGCCACAGAGGTATTCTTGCTCTCAAAATGACACATTGCTAGAAAAAATAAGAGTAGAAAAATGCCTACACATACATGGCTCTTGTCCTTGCCATCCTTTAAACAAATCACAGAGAATCTTTGTAACAATGCTTGTTCCATTTTGAACAAATGTGGTATTAATCTATCATTAAACAAAAGGAGGCAAAATAGAACCCAAAGAATTACTATGCAGCACAGTATGGTCATCAGCATAACTTGAATTACTGGCTTCCTGGCAAAGAGAAAGACCTACAATAGCAAAGAACAGACATGGTTATCATCTGAGGGTCAGGGACTGCAGCCTTCAATATGGATTGAGGCTCAATGTCAAGAAGACAAAGATTCTCACCACCGGACCAATTGGCAGCATCAGGATGGATGGTGAAGAGACTGAGATTATTCACAGCTTTAGTCTGCTTGAATCCACAATCAACACTCTTGGCACCAGCAGCCAGGAAATTAAAAGGTGCATTGCCATAAGAAAGTCTGCTGTTAGGGACCTCTCTCAAGAGCAATGGTGTGTCATTGGAGACTAAGGTGCGTCTGGTACAGGCCATGGTCTTTGTAATGACTTGTTATGCGTCAGAGAGCTGGACAATGACCAGGGAGGATAGAAGAAGAATTGATGCTTTTGAGCTTTGGTGTTGGAGAAGAGTGCTGACGGTGCCATGGACTGCTAAGAAAACAAACAGATTCATCCTGAGAGGGTTAAACTGGGCTGCTACTTAGAGGCAAGGATTCTGAGGCTTCGTCTGACATAATTTGGTCATGTTGTAAGGAGGGATCAGTCCTTGGAGAGACATCATGCTTGTGAGGGTAGAGGGCAGGTGCAGGAGGGGAAGGCTCTCTGGGAGATGGATTGATTCAGTGACTGGGGCAATTGGGATGAGTGTGTTGGAGACAGTGAGACTGGCACAGGACAGTTTAGAGCTGTTGTACACAGGGTCGCTATGAGTCGCAAGCGACTCATAACATAACAACAACAACAACATCGGCCTGTAAAAGACAGGTAGGTGAAATCTAGAAAGCCTGTTACAGTGTGGAAGAGGCATTAAAAGCAGGCCTTCAGAGTTGCGATGGGAATAACTAAAGTATCCTCATTTTGAGGTCCTTATGCTTAGATCTATTTTCCTGTCTTTTTATTGAGATAAACTTTGAGGTCCCCTTTTCTCATTTATGTGGTAAGAACAAAGGTTTGAAGTCAGTTAGCTCTGACTTTGAATTGTGGCTCACAGGTCATTTCATCTACCCTAAGTCTCAGTTTATGTATCTATAAAATAGGTCTGAGAACACTGTATTCTGTAAAGATTACAATGAGATTAATGCAATACCTTGATGGTTTCTAAAGGGGGACAGAGATTTTTACACGTCTCAGTAATGGAAAGGTATCTGACAACTTACCCTTTTAATCTTCTCTTGTCCTACTGGTGGAAGAGTCTGGCCCACATACTTGTACAGCTTTCGGCATTCAATTTTTTTTAAAATCTCTCGTGCTGCATCCAGTTTGGGATTACTTGAGTGTAAAATTTCCAGAAAAATGTTATCTGCCAATGTGATGAAATTTCAGTTATATTAAATGAAACCTTATACAGGAAAAGGCTTAGGTAACTCCTGAAATCACTTCAAATCATAGTTCATTAATGCAGATACACTACGATTACAATCTGATTTTTATTTCTTAGAATACTAAAAAAAAACCCCAAAATAACACTAAACTTTAAAAAAATGTTCCAATCAATTAAAATGATAGAGGAGAAAGGTAGAAATGAAAGAAGACTGCATCCTTTGAGTTGATAACTGTTGAGGCTGAGTAATGCGTGGCTATTGTTATGAACTATTGAGTAAGAACTGGTTCACAGCTGACCCTTCAGTGGCTTTCAGAGACTGAAGATCACATAGGAGGAAATTTGTCTGTCTCTTGCAGTGCAGCTGGTGGATTTGTACCACCTGTCTTTGGGTTGGCAGCTCAAGTCTTTACTCATTGGGCTATGGGGACATAAGCCATAGAAACCAAAGCCACTGGAATTGAGTTCCTATTCACACCCACCATCTATGCAGACTAGAACTACCCTCATGGGGTTTCTAATGCTGTAATCTTTTAGAAGGGTGCACTGCTAATCCAAAGACTGAGCCTCTCTCATGGCTGGGACACACGAGTGGCTGGCTCCTCGGGCGAAAGATAGGCAATTTCCTCCTGCTCACTTTACAGTTATGAATTAGTTCCAACTCGATGGCAATGAGGTTTTTCAGGGTTTTAAAAAAATCTTTAAGGACACAAACTGGCACAAAGTGGCAAGTGGGTTCAAACTATCTTCCTCTTGAATAGCAGCCAAGCCCTTTCCTCATTCCACTGTCAGAGTTCTTTAAATCCACTGCTATCGCGGTTCCAACCACTGGCTGTTAGACAACACTTGGAGTATTATCACAGTACCACAAGGGCTCCTACCACAATGGGTATACAATAGTGTCTTAATTTACTGTTGTTCAACTTACATCTTTAAAAGGAATGATACTAATTATTTATAAACAAGATTATTTGTTTGGGATTTGCTTCAAAACAGTCTAATGTCCGAAGGGAACAGGTAGATAGGATAAAGAAAGCAAAGTTGTACTGATAATGACTGATGTGAAGTAAGATTTAATGAAATCAAACCTCCTACAATTGAGCCAATTCTAATTCTAAGTCAAAGTTACTGGGATCCTCCAGCGGGTTCCTGAGGCCATAAACCTTTACAGGAGGGGACTAACCAGCTTTCTCCCTCATAAGCTACTTGTGGATTGAAATAGGTAAGCTTTCAGATAGCAGCCTGGCACCTACATAGATTTAGTAAATTTCCTTTATACAAAGTTTTACAAGCATCCTTATATGATGACACTTGTAAGTAATTTTTAAAAATTGTTTGATTAATAAAATTTAATTAAAAAAATTCTTTTGTCCCCTTTCCAAATGCTTCTACTGAAAAATTTTAAAAAACTATAGATACATACTTTGCCTTACAACAGGTTACAGCTGGTTAACAACTTCCCATATTTGCATATACATAATATAGAATATAGATAATGTTGTTGTGTACCATCGAGTCAGGATCAACCAGTAGCCGACCCTCCAGCGTTTTCAGAGACAGTAAATTGAATGGAAGGAGATTGTCCATCCTTCTCCTGTGGAGCAGCTGGTGGATTCGAACTGCATGACTTTGGGATTGCAGCATAGGTTCTTATCACTAGGCCACCAGAAGCTCCCTAATATAGGCAGACAAAATATACCTGATATTATATATGTAAATAATAGACAGGTTTTTTCTAAAATCTAGGTTTTTCTTGAGACTATGGCCCTAAACCACCCTTTGAAAGTGGAATAAAACTCATTTCCAAGGTTCAACTCAGTCAAACAACAAACAGGCCTAAAAGGGAACAGTAACACCAACGCACTCACTTCTTAGACTCACCAACCATATTAGGCCAAAAAAGCATCATTTCCGCTAAAGATAAAGCCCTGAAGACAGGAAGGATTAATGGAAGTCAGAATTACAGGGAAGTGGAAAAGTGCAAATATATTGTGAATATTCAAACTGTTATAAAACAAAATGTGTATGACTGGTTGAATGAATAACCAACTTGCTTTATCAACTTTCATTCAAAAAGCAATTTTTTAAAGGGAGGGAAATGAAATCTGGATTTGCATTTTATTTTGACTCTCAGACCTTCCCCATTCAATTTTCCAAATAATTAATATGTACTGTATTTAATTCAAGAATAAATCTGGAGCTGCTGACCTAAAGGCAGCTTCTCTCTGGCAGTTCAACTCCACCAGTGGCTCCTTAGGAGAAAGGTGTGCAGTCTCCTCCTGTGCCGTTTACAGCCTCTGAAAACCTGCTAGAGGGTCAGCTATGATTCAATTCCAACTCACTACAATGAATTTCAGAGTTTGACTGAACTGTGAGGGATTGGAAATCAAGAAAATTGGTTCCTCAAAGACAGTTTGAGAGGAACTAGTCTAGTCTTATATTCTGATGTTGTTGTTGTTGTTATTAGGTGCTGTTGAGTATGACTCACAGCAAACCTATGAACAGCCAATCTGAACCCTGCCCTATCCTGTGCCATCCTCACCATCTGTGCCAAAGTCTTAGTGTCAATCATTCTCACTGGGGTCTTCCTCTCCTTCACAGACCCTCCATCTTTCCAAGCATTATGTCCCCTTCCAAGGAATAGTCTCGTCTAGGTATATGTCCAAAGGATAAAAGACAAAGCTTGGTCTTCCCTGCCTCCAAGGAGTACTCTGGCCAATAGCGCGTTGCAAATAAAACCTAGGAACAAAAAAACCCCCCACCAAACAAACCTAGGAGCAGTGGAGCAGGAGTGGTACTCTTAAGTAGAAAGCTGTATCTTGGACTACTCAGATTTTGTTGCTTTTGCTCATTTTCTGAGCCTCCAGTCTTAACACTGATTCTGTTACCTAGTGATTGCATTCTAATTTTAATTTTTGCTAAACAGAGTCGTTTTCATGATTTGCATTTGAGACCTCTGCAGGTATATATATACTTCCTGTTCTACTTTTCCTGTTTTGCTGACTTCCATTGCTCAGTCTACACTTTCCCACATACATAACTGGCTGCCACACCTCCACCTCTCTTCCTTCTCACTCTAAGCTGCAGGTACTGTTTCTGCTAAGCAGGAGAGATTCTTATATCCTGCAGTCTGTTTTTTATGATGGCAATAAAGTTAAAAGGGCAAGCCAGTTTTCAGGATTAGGATGATATCAGACCAGCTAGTTTATAACAAGGAAATCACAAAACTGAGAACCTCCTACCTATCCATTCCAACTCTGCAACAGTGTAGAAGAGTAAACCTACTCACAGGGTTTCCAAGGCTGAAATCTTTACAGAAACAGACTGCCTCATCTTTCTGTTGAGCACTGGCTAGTGGGTTTGAACCTCTGATCTATGGTTAAAGCCAGATGCAGTGCTACAATAGTTCCCTGAATTAAGTGACAGTTGATATTGTTCCTTTATTAACACAAGTCTTACCTGCAATGTGAAAGCAGAACATTGCTCTAAAACCTTTCATAAGCAAGAATGGGGTCAAATGAAAAAGCGATTACTATTAATGTATATGGGAAATCTTTTTGTGCATTTCCAGACCTCCAAAAAAAACCTATCAAGGGAGCTCTGGTGGCTTAGAGGCAAAAAGCTGCGTTGCAATCCCGAAGCCACATGGTTCAAATTTACCAGATGCTCCGCTGGAGCAGGAGGGGCAATTTCCTCCTGTGCCAGTCGGATCTTCTCCGACAGTACACAACAAGAAAAACAAACATAAACCCTATCAAATCATATTAAATAACATATAAAACCTAAAATAACACAAAGTGGCTTGATGCTTAGCTGCTCAATGTAGCTCTGCGGATGGAGCTTGGCCATGCCACTCTCATTACTTGGGGTACACATGTCCTCTACCGGTTTGCTGCAAAACAAAATCTTAATGCTATTTTTTCCTCTTTTGTAAACATGAAAATCCTCTTCAGATTCTCTTTTTTTGTTAGTGAAAACAAATACTACTGCAGGGCTTCCGTAAAAACGAACTAGCATAAGCCCAGGTGCTAATCAAAAGTCAGTGGTTCAAATCAGCAGCAGCTCCACCACAGGCCTGGTGATCAGATCCTATAGCAATAATAGCTTAGGAAACCCCTGGGCATTTCTACTCTGACACACTCGGTTGTTAGGATTCAGAAGTGATTCAACAGCCTACAATGACAACACGCCTCATTTTTAGCATCACGGTAAACCATGTGCTAGGTATCATTTCTTCTATGTTATAATATGAGAAAAAAAAGACTCAAAGAAACTGAATTACGTTGTAAGATCATCTTATTAGTACAAGGCAGAACTATTGCACATTAAAAAATAATCACTTAGGGATCTGAAATATATTTGAGTGTTCTGAAAACAACTCACTGATAAGCCAGGGAGATGGACCCTTTCTCTACCTTTTAGTTCATACCTGTTAGTTTCGTGAAGGCTTCCATGTCATCAATTGCTGTGGAAATGTGATACTTTTTTCCTTCAGCACCTGGTATCTCCAGATAGGGGTCCGCTTTGAGAAAAGCATCTGTGATCCTAAAAAGCAACATTTATAAAAATTTAGGTTTCTTAGATATCGTGTATGTACTCTCAGCATCACTAAAAGTTAAGGGAATTTTTCTATATTAGAAAAATAGTATCTTGAGACAAGATTTTATTCTAAAAATAACTGCTTTTTGACCATTTTAAGTAAGTTCACGTTCTTATAAGCTATCACATATACTACGTTCCAGGAGCTATGGCAAGGTTTCACAATATAATCCAGACTTTATAACAAGAGACATCATGCTGAGTAGGGTGGACAGTCAGCTAAAGAGAAGACGACCCTTAATGAGGTGGACGGACAGTGACTGCCACGATGGGCCTGAGCAGGGCCCAGACCATGAGAACGGTGCAGGACAGCACAAGATCCAGATCTGTTGCTCACAGGGTTGGCTTGATGGCACCTCACAACAACTTAACAGTAAGGCTGGTATAACCAATACCAACTGTCCAGATGCAGAAACAAAATGATTTTTAGTTAACCAAGTTAGGAAGAAGCAGTGTTTTGTTTCCACCAAGCTTTCAAGCTAGATTTTGGGGAAAAAAACCTCAACAACCTACTGATGATGTGTCAATCATATAAACAGAATACTGTATTCTAAATAGTTTGTTCAAACAGCAAAGGAAAAAAAAAAGAAATGGGGGGGACAAAAAAAGGAGTATGTGCCCAAAGGTACATAAAAAGCTAACTTAAAGGGAGCTCTGGTAGCCTAGTGGCAAAAAGCTGCACTGCAATCCCAGATGTACGTGGTTCAAATACACCAGATGCTTTGCTGGAGAAGGCGGAGCAATCGCTTGTGCCAGTCATATGGTACACACACACACACACACACACACACACACAGACACACAGCCAACTTAAAGCAAATTTAGAGATACACAATTAACAGAAAGCACACACACATTTGTTAACTTCCATGTGGTCTATGAGTCATGTAGAGACTCAGCTGTACTTCTCTACTATGGTTCTGCTTCAATCAGAGAGAAGTCCAATTTTCTGTTGATTTTACAATATGCCAGTAATTTTGATAAACCTTTGTTAGAACAAGGATAAATATTAAGTTTCATTCAATCTTAAAAGGAATTTCATTCATCTCAACATTATCAGTTATGCAAGTATGAGTGCTCTGATGACTGTGCTGCTATGTGTACTGAAGAGGTGGCACTGACTCATAGCTGACCACCTGGTGGGTTTTCAGAGGCAGTATCAGGATTCAGTAATCACACAGGAGGAGACTGCCCATCTTTCTCCCACAGAGCAACGCTGGTGGTCTCGAACGGCAAGCCTTTGGGATTGCAGTGCAGTTTCTTGCCACTAGGCCACCAGAGCTCCCCTTGATGACTAATACCTGGCATTCAGTCAACCACTTATGTGGAAAGGATCGTTGCTGGAGTCGTCCAGGGAGCTCCACTGCTAACTCAAAGATAGTACATATGGTGGTGCGAATCCACATGGGATCCATGGGAGAAAGTGGGGCACCTTACAACTGCCAAAAAACCACCTCCTGTACAACTTACAATCTCCAAAACCCTGCAGGAGGGTCAACTATGAGTTAGTTCTGACTCCACAGCCGATGGTTGGGACTGATGAGGAAGCCCTGAGCCTTTCCAACACTGCTTCTTTGCATCTTTCCGGTCGGCTGTTCTCCCCTTCATTTGTCTCCTTTATACATTCTCGCCCTATTCCACAATTCAATTAAGTTCATGATGTGCTAGTTTTTGTCAGCTGGCTGAAAATGAAGAGGACTTGAAGATCTTTCGAAGAAGATCCAAGACTATAGCCTTCAGTATGGTGAATGTCTCAACAACAACAAAACCATAAAAAAAGATGGGTGTTGTCAAGGATTTAATTTTATTTGGGTCCACAATCAATATCCATGAAAGCAAAAGTTTAAAAAAAATAAAAAAATTTAAAAAATCAAACCAAATTTTGCATTTGGAAAATCTGCTGCCAAAAATTTTTAAAGTGCTTTTAAAGAGTAAGAATGTTACTTAAAAGATTAAGCTGCACCTGACTCAAGCCATGGTAACTCCAATTGCTTCACTATATGAAAACTGGACAATGAATAAGAAAGACCAAAGAAGAATTGATGCTTTTGAATCATGGCATTGGGGAAGAAATGTGAATATACATAGGTTGCTAAAAGAACATACAAATCTGCTTGGAAGAAGTGCAGTCAGAATGCTCCCAGAAGCAAAGATGGTGAAATATCATCACACATACTCTGAACATGTTATTAGGAGTAACTGGTCCTTGGCATAGGACATCGTGTTTGGAAAAGTAGAGAGTCGGTGAAAAAGAAGACAACCCTCAAAGAGTTGAGTGACCCAGTGATTGCAACAGTGGCCTATGCACAGCAGGATCTCAAGGATGGTATATAATAGGGTAGAGTTTTGTTTTGTTGTCCATATGCCAATGTGCTAGATCAAACCTGATGGTACCTAACAACAGCTTTTGTTTCATTGTTTGAGAAACCCTTTTGGACTTCTTGTTCTTGTGATGTGCCATTGGGCTGACTACTTTTAAATTTATTGATTTAATAATCAATTGGATTTATCCATAAATCTCAATGTAGCCAACCTCTGATAATCTAGTCAAGCATCCTAGAAAATTTTATAAGGAAATAACAATCATTTGTCTTACATTGTATCGATGATGTTGCCAATTTTGTGCTGATAAGCTCTTCGGTGTAAACAATTGCGTGTGTGGAACATATCATATAGATTTCCAACTTCCTGAAGGAAAATATGTAATAAATATTCATGTAGTATCAGATCATGTTAAACTAATGAGAAGACAAAGTATAAAAAAAGGAAAAGCCATAGGGGCATACAAGAAAGCCATGCACAGAGGCTAATGCACTGAAATCCTGAGCTCACTAAAAACTAGGGGTGCAGACTGGTGAAACTATTCATTAGTTTGAACCATCCATTATTACTGGTTAATTGTTGTTGATTACAGTTGAGTAGAGCACGACTCACAGTGACCCCATGAACAAAGGCCTGAAGCCCTTCCACAACCATCACCATTTATCAAAGTTCAGAGGGTTTCCAGAGGCCTGCTGTTTAGGAAGTGGATGCCACTCCCAAACCAGAATTTTAACTCTGGGACAGGTTCTGTTCTAGCCATCTTAAATCTAATAATTTCTTTTAATCTCCTCAATAACTGTAGGTAATATAACTCTTGTGTTATTTAATCTCAACCTAAGACTTTTTATATATATAGCATTACAGTACTCTTTATTAGCACATCTGTAATCCAGCAGAGACAGCTTTTCAGGATTTTAACTGTTGTGAAACATAAATTCATTAAGATGAGGTTCTGGAGCCAAACTGTCTGGGCTGAAATTCTAGCTCTGCCATTCATTCTGTTTTATCTGTGCCTCAATATGCTCATCTGTTAAATGGAATAATAACAATATCTCGTTCACAGGGTTTTAAGAATTGTGTTAATGCATGTAACATAGTGCCTGAGAACATTAAAAAAATATCAGAATAAAAAGAAATTACAAAAATGAATTTTATATTTTCATGTTGTAAGAAAAATGTAAATAAGCCTTAAGATGATTAAGTAAAGAGATGGACTATATACTAGGTACTGATATTTCCAAATGGTTGAAAAATTTCATTCTAGAACTACATATTCCTTGTCCCACTGACAAAGCTTACCTTTTCTCTAGTACAAATATGCTTCTTGTTATTTACTTCACAGACTCGGGCAAATTTAATGAAGCGCTTGTAGTCAAAATTATTCTGGATTCCAAGGTGATGGCAATCCCTAATAATATTCCAGAGACACAGAGAGAAAATTTTTCAACAAGGAAACTGTTATGTCCCATGCTAATACTAAATTTATACAAGGATTTCATCAGACTTTCCTGAAGTATTCAATGCACTGCATACCTGGCAAAATAATCCCATTTGTCCACATCAATGCCATTTCTTTTATTGGCCACTATCTCATAGAGGAAGCTCTTCTCTTTAGGGCGCCCTTTATAAGTCCACTGGAAGAGATTGAAATCCACTGAAAATTTTAGGCTAGAAACCAAATCAATTTACATGCAAGTTAAGATTCATGGGAAAAGAAGAAATAGATAGTTGACTGAGAACACGAAATAACTTAAAAGATTCTCTGTTTCCTTTCTCCACTTAGAACTCAAAACTGTGAAGTCAGTGAGCTCTGGTGGTCTAGTGCAAAAAGCTGCACTGCAATCCCAAACAGAGGTACATGGTTCGAATCCACCAGATACTCTGTTGGAGAAGGAGGGACAATCTCCTGCTGCACCAGCCAGATCTAGTTTGACTGTGCGCGCGCGCGCGCACACACACACACACACACACACACACACTAATAACAACAACAACAACCACAAAAACCTGTGACGTCAGCACAGATTCATAGATGATCCTCCAGAGCATTTTCAGAGGTTATAACTCGCAGGGGAGGAAACTGCCTGTCTTTCTAGTGTACAGCAGCTGGTGAGATAGCCTGGCCAAGGTCAGCAGCACAACCCCTGAGCCAGTAGGCTGTCAGGGTTCTTAAATTATTGGAAAAGGGGGGGGGGGGGAAATGTGCTAGGGTATTTCCTATTCTATGAATACAAAACATTCTTGTGTCACTGAAAGGATCCTAACACTTTTCATAGCCAATCAGTTTCTCTAGTTTAAATGTTCTTAGATTTTTATTTATAAAAAATATCTTAGTATGAAGTATTTTTCAGTGACTAGGGTAACAGGAGTAAGTGTGTCAGAGACAGGGAGATTAGCACAGGATAGAGCAGGGGTTAGGGCTGTTGTACATAGGGTCGCTATGAGTTGCAGGCAACTCAACAGCATGTAACAACAACAACAGCATGAAGTATTAAGAAAGTTCTTTTAACTTAAAATGCTTGAATTCATGAATCCAAAACAGCATTTATTAAAGAAGTTACAACCTTAGTCTAAACGATAAGCATTATTTAAAGTATTTTTTGAGATTCAGTTTTTGCTAAAAGTGGTGTTTTATATACTTTAGAAAAAATTCTAAGTACCTCAGGAGGAAATGATTTTCCAATCACTTTTTCTAATTAAAAATGAAAACACAAAAACATCTGAGGGGAAAAAAAGACTGATTTTTTTCCTCTCAAGTAGTCAAACATTTTCCTAAGTGTCAGTGGACCTAAATAATTCAAGGATGTTAATTTTAACTGATAAACTAGACTTACACATTTCTAAACAAAGTTTCTTGAGCTTTTTATATTAAATACTACATTAACATTTCTTTAAAAAGATTTATATACACTTTTAATTTGGGAGTGATTTTTTAAAAGAATTAATTAAAAGGCAAAAAAGCGTGTTTTTCCTTTTTAAATAGTAGAATACATAACTTACTTATATGTTACCATTTAGTTCCTGTCAAGTAGCAAATGTGTAGCTTTGCAGGACTCAAGAAATAACTAAAATGAAAAGCATCAGGCAGGTCAAGTTCAGCTGTCCACAAGCTTACCAGACATTCTTGGACTGGGAATTCAAGTGGTCCTGTAATTTGCTCCTTGATGAAACAAATATCCTCTTCAGGAACGAGACCATAATGCTCCATGACTTCTCTGAGTCCATTCGAATCAACTAGGTGCTCAAACATCTTGACAGAACCCTGTTCGTGCTAGAAAGTCAGGGTTAGATGGTCCATTATTGATTCTGGCTTTGACGAGGGCTCCAGATTTCCAAAATTACTTGACTTCAGGTAACTAATAGATAGAGCTCTACAACATAATTATCTAACTTCCAACTAGTGTGTTAGATATGAAAAAAAAACAAACAAAACCAAAACCTGTCCTATTTGTCAACATTTTATGATCTCCAAGTCTTTTACAACATTATGTTATAAATATATTTATGATTTTTTGTGACACTATAATTTACAATGCCTGGAAGAATATGATCAAGTCATGCAGGTAGAATTTCTTATCAAGGAAATTCACGCTCTCCTGGTGCCACAGAGTGAGAACCAACTCAGATCTTATCCTCTCCTGGGTTTTCAGGAGGCTCTAAGTCACATGAGAGGAGACTGATCATCTTGACTATGCCACTACAGCGTTCTTATTAATGAATATCCCTATAAAATTCAGCTCTGCTGTTTAATCAGTACTAGAACCTCTAGAGTTACATTACAAGCTGTTAGCACATCCATCTAGTGATTTAACAGGGTAATGGCAAACTTAAAGCTTTATCCAGGGTGCTTAAGTAAAAATCGGGGTTACAGTCTCTGATCAGCCTCAGTTTACTCAGATGTCTCTGCTTACTCATCCAAGCGGACTGTAAAGATCTAATGACTTCCCGGGGACATCTGTCCTATTTCTAAGTCTTTATTAAAAACTGACCCAGGTAGGAAACCCTACAATAATTTTCAAAATATTCTATCAAAATACATACTGGTTACAAAGAGGAAATAATAGTAATTATACAGAGGATAAATTTGGAAGGTACTGACTTAAACAAATGATCACCAGTAATATTAACACAAATAGATTTTACGTGTCTCCTGATTCTGAGCACTAAACAGGACACCATGATGCTTCCGTGTGAATCCTAACAAAAACGAAGTCTGAGTCTATGAGAAAACATCAAACTGAAACTAAGGGATAGTCTACAAAATAACTTGCCTACATTCTTCAAAGATGATGCTATCGGAAGGATACATTTAAGTGGAAAAGGGCATAAGTGAATTTTCCAGGAAGACAAAACTGTTTTATATTCTGACTTGGGGAGTGTTACATGGATGTATGGAGAAATTTGTCATGACTCACTGATTTACACATTTAAAATACAGTCTATTATCCATGAATTATATCTTTAAAACACAGAGACAGAAACTGACTAATATGTAATAAACATTATTATATATGAATATCTAGTTCTTTTCCAGGTTTCAGCAATACAGTATAACAAATTTAGGGGCAAGGATGGGAAAGTCAACCTAAATCTACTCAAAATAGATTTTTTTAAAAAAATCAAAATATAAGAGAGCTCCGAGGGCCTAGTTATAAGAATGCTATTCTGTAATCTCAAAGTTATGTGGTTTGAATCCACCAGCTGCTCTGCAGGAGAAATATGGGCAATCTCCTCCCATGTGATTAACTGCCTCTGAAAACCCTCTGGAGGGGTGGTTGTTGTTGTTGTTATGTGTCGTCGAGTCACTTGCAACTCATAGCGACCCTATGTACAACAGCCCTAAACTCTGCTCTGCCTTGTGCCAATCGTACTGTCTCCGACACACCCATCCCAATTACCCCAGTCACTGAATCAATCCACCTCAGAGAGGGCCTTCCCCTCCTGTGCTGTCCCTCCACTAAGCATGATGTCCCTCTCCAAGGACCGGTCCCTCCTTACAACATGTCCAAAGTATGTTAGACGTAGCCTCAGAATCCTTGCCTCCAAGGAACCACCGGGTTTAACCCTTTCCAGGATGAATCTGTTTGTTTTCCTAGCAGTCCATAGTATCCTCAGTACTCTTCTCAAGCACCACAGCTCAAAGGCATCAATTCTCCTTCTATCCTCCTTAGTCACTGTCCAACTCTCTGATGCATAACAAGTGATAGCAAAGACCATGGCCTGTATGAGATGCACCTTAGTCTCCAGAGAGACACCATTGCTCTTCAGTACTTTGGAGAGGTCCCTAACAGCAGACTTTCCCATGGAAATACATCTTTTAATTTCCTGGCTGCTGGTGCTAAGACTGTTGACTATGGAGCCAAGGAAACTAAAGCTGTGAACAATCTCAATCTCTACACCATCCATTCTGATGCTGTCAATTGGTTCAGTGGTGAGAATCTTTGTCTTCTTGACATTGAGCCTCAATCCATATTGGAGGCTGCAGTCCTTGACCCTCTGCAGCAAGCGCTTCAGGTTCTTCTCAGTTTCAGTAAGCAGGGTATATATAATGAAACTAGATTGGTAATAGTTACTTTAGAGTCAGAGCAAGTCAGTTAAAATTAGAGTTGATCATTTTTGTTGTTGTTGTGTACCACCAAAATGGATCCAACTGGCACAGGAGGAGATTGCCCCTCCTTCTCCAGCGGCACATCTGGTGGATTCAAACCACATGCTTTCAGAATTGCAGTGCAGCTTCTTGCCACTAGGCCACCAGAGCTCCCTGGAGTTCAGCTGTTATGTTTTTATTTTATGGGTATGAAATCTAATAGAAAGAGCACTGCATGCCAACTGGTTTTTAAATGCTAGCTCTACCATTTCACAGTGTTGTTATTTGGACACTGTTAAAGAAATGTGGTAATTTAACATTTTATGTGTAGATAGGCTAACAGAAGAAATATTAGTGATTCATAACCACCATCCATTCTGGGGGGAAAAAGATGAGCAGTCTCTTCCCATAGAGATTCACAGCCCCAGAACCTGCTGAGGGCTGTCCTAAGTCAAAATCAGTGACAGCAGTGGGTTTAATAAGCTACAGCTCTGTGAGCTTCAAGTTTCCTTACATGAAGATGGGAGATAATGTTTCCTTACTTGAAGATGGGAGATAATATTTCCTTACTTGAAGATGGGAGATAATGATTCCTGACTCACAAACTACTGTGAGGCACAGGCAATTTTCTACATCACACTTGGGTGAGTACACCAAGGTCTTAAAATCTTTGGGCAGACATCTAAGGCACAATTACTGGTCTTTTTGTGTCTGGAACAAAGAAGAGAGAAGGCAAAAAGGAAAGATATATAGAAATAGTTGAAAAGACTAGTGGACCATGTGAACCTCAACCTCTACAACCTTTAGGCCAGAAATGGAAAATGTCCAGCTGCTACTACTGACCACCCTAAAAGGAATCACAGTAGAAAATCCTGGATAAAGTGAGTGAAAAAAGCAAAACAATATAAAAATGGACAGGCTTATTGGTTTTATAGAACCCCCAAGATCATGGTCTTTAGTCATCCACTTCTATGTTCTCATCCTTTTGAGGCCTATGTTTCAGGCAAAACAACAGATAGTGAACAAGAACACCAGGAATTCTGTCCCCAGAATATCAACCACTGCCCAAGGATAGTGTTTAAAAAGTAGGAAATTAAAATAAAAGACTAATGGAAATGAGAATCACAGAGAGGGTGTGGAATTATTATAAACGCTGACTGTAATTGTTAATGTCATGAAACAAAACGTGTTTGTATGGTTAAGTGAAAAATCAATTTGCTTTTAAAGTTTTCAACTAAATCACAGTAATAAAAATGTGAAAGAAAGATTCAATTAGGGTAGAACTCCAAATTACTGTGAAGACCAAATTAGGGGGTATGACACACACAGACGCACATAGGCACCCCCCCCAAATGACAATAGGAAATTATAACATTATAACACAGCAGTAAAACCAAACATAACATAGTAAGACATTAAAATCATCTTTTTTAAACAATTTCTCATTGATTATAAGAATACATACCGTCCATTTTACTTCTGGGCGAGCAAGTGGAATAAATCTTCCATCAAACATGTGAGAAAATGGTCCATGACCTTAAAGACAAAACAACCTTAGAAACAAGCATTCTGGGTTTTGTTTTGTTTTCATTTGTAGTTCAATTTGAACATCAACAGAAATTAATAACCTAAAAAAAATACCATTCAAAGGAGGACAATACATCTTCTATTTCTCAAATAAGAGAAAGATAACAGAAATATATAAAAAAGCTCACACAGACGAGTCTTGGAATCACCAGAACTTACATAAACCTGATGACAAGGCAGCTGTGTAAAACTAAAAAAAAAGTTACTTTAGAAAGAATAGTAATACAATCAACCACTTGGGTCAGAAAGAAAAGAATTTCATTTTATTATTCTTATCCTTTAAATACATCTATATTCAAGTAATTTTATAATACATATACACATACTGAGGCAGTGTATGGGCTATCTGGATCAGTACTGGGCTCATCTTTGCAAAGTTATTTATATAGAAGTTTGATTCCTGGTACCAGTGAGGGTCTCAGATGCCAAAATTCTGTTACATTTATTCCCTGGAGGCGAGGTGGTACTGGTCTTCCTGTAAGTCGTGGAGGAATGATCTATCCAGGGTGATTTATTGATGACAGTATTGTATCCAACTCCCTTACATATGTAGTTATGTTATAGAGACACCTGCCTCCAAAAGCAAATCTCCAGCAATAAGTAGAAATGAACTCCAACGATAAGGTTATAAATTTGTGTGACTAATGTGATCAGGGGCAGTTCTTTTCTACCAAAGGATAGGAATAATAATCCAACTGGACCAAGACCTTATATGGGCCCAGGAAGTAAACAAGTTAATCTCAATCTGTTAATCTCCTAACTCAGAATAAGTGTTCTAGATATAAAAATGAATTTCATTTGACAACATAATTAAGGGGGGAAATGGCAATTGTATTCAATAAGAAGGGTAAAAAAAATCCTTATCATCCTAAAGATAGTGGCCAGAAAACTTCACTATTCACAAAGTCTCTTCCGCAAACTCGTAACTCTGTTTTAGGTTGATTTTTCTATTTCAAAGAGATAACTTATTTTACAGTCTTATTAACTTCTTTGGCTTACCGAGATCATGACAGAGCCCAGCAATCTGCACACACAGCATATCTCGCTCACTTATCTGCAGCTCTGGCTGTTTTTCATGCAGTGCACTAACTAGACATCCTGCTAGATATCCTACCCTGAATAGCAAAAAAACACAAGAGTTACTCAGAGATGCTTAGGAGGAAAAAATTACGTATATGAGATTAAACTGACAGCAATTACTCAAAAGATTAGATGGGAAGCTTACTAGTCATGGATTTTTTTCCATTTCTTTTATTATTATTATTATTATTATTATTATTATTAATTTCAATGAACATTTACAGAGGTTTTGGACTTCCATTCATTCATTGTTGCACTTTTCTCCCTGCCCACCCACAAGTCATGGATTTTAAGATAACGGCAGTGGAATATTTTGAAAAGCAAGAAAAGAAACACAACTAGAACAATGAAATGAGTGCCAGCGAGTTATAGATGTAGACTTGGTTGAAATGATTTGTCTTTGGTTGTGCATATGTTCACCAAAAAAAGTGAATGGTATCTCTGGTTTTAAAAGCTGTAATGCATTTCCTCAAACATTCTATGGTACTTCTAGGGCAACTTTACAGTCTGTTTCAGAACTGAGCAGGAAAATCTCACACAGACACCATCTCTATCTTGTAGACCTGATCAGTACTCAAAAAATATTTTCTGATTAATAAATGTGTACATGAGACTAGACACATGTGTTCTGGCTCATTAAAAAGGTTTTGAAATACATGACAAATGCACTGTAAATACTTCATGAAAATGTGAAAAACGATGAGTTCTCCCTTGCCCATGTGCTCCTGGCTCTACATTTTATAAAGGACAGAGCGTATCACCGACTCAGCCTGGCTGTGTACAACAGAGGTCCTGCCTTCTCTAACCTTGGGCATGCTTTTCTGGTATACATTTCCTGATGGATAAGGAAGTGGTCTGCTTTCAGAGAGGAATTCTGTACAAGACAAAATAAGGAATGCAGGAAATTTTTTACAAATCAAAATTTCCATTGGTTATGTAAAGAACCAATATTCTCAGCTTTAAATATTTTAAAGTTTCAAATGAACTTTTTTTCTTCAACAATGCCCTGTATTAATGGCTCCATAGTGCTTTCACTTAGCTTCAATTGGAAGTTGTTTTTGAAACAATTCAGTATTGCACAGTCAGCTGATTAGATTAGTTAGTGCTCTTTCCATTTCTCTGGGGTGACTCTGCCAACAGGGGACAGGTTCCCTCCTATTCCAATTTGTGAAAGCAGCTCCACTAGCTAATACAGCATTGCTAAGTCTGTTATAGAAATCAGGTGCACGGTTCTGATGGCTCTGCCTTGTCTTTATTTGCTTAACGCTTCAAAAACTATTGTTCACCTTGAAGAATGCATTTTTGGCCAAAGGAAACATAGTGAAGCAATTATTACTGTAACAATTGCTGCTGTTGGCTAGGTACATTTCCCATGTGGTATTCCTAAATTTTGAAAATATCTAACATACACAAATATTTTATATAACTGACTGGTCACAAACAATTTTATTCTCTTTCCAGAAAGACCAGAGGTGGCACACAAGAACACACAAAATATATATATACCATAGCAAACTTTTTCACAACTCTGTATCTGTCATCAGTAAAATAAAGGTAGTACTACCTATCATTGTATAAAGTTATTTATTCCCTCAATGAGAAAATAAGATAACTGTTCCATGAGACAAAAGAGGTACTATTCTTACTTCCTATCTCATGTCCTTCTTACCCCAGACTATGCTCAAAGCGGTTATGCGATGCTCCTGGGAAAACATAGTAACCACCTCCCAGCTGTTTGATGTAGCGAAGCCGCTGAAACTGAGGTGTGTCAATGATTCGGATGAGGAGAGGGTGGAGCTCAATGTGGCCATGGATGGGATCATTGATAACCTAGAAAATGAAGCTTAAATTAATGTAACTAACAATACACCACTCGATCTAAAATTTTTGTGCATTAATTCCAAATAATATTGAAAAGTCAAATCTATTTTATCATTCACATAAGAATACTTGGGAAAATTAGGGAGCTTTGGTGGCCTAGTGGTAAGAAGTTGCCAGAGGTGTACGGTTCAAATCCCCCAGATGCTCTGCTGGAGAAGAGAGGCAATCTCCTCCTGTACCAGTCAGATCAATCTGACAGTATGCACACAAAAAATAATAAAATAAAATAAATTGTTTTTTAAAAAAGAAGAAGAATACTTGGAAAATTATGTTAAGTATCATTGCCTGATTTGCTATCACTAATAGATCAAGTTACTTACGTTGCATTTTGGAATTTTACTTCTTCCTAGTAGTTTTTGGTAATACAAATATAAAGACATTAACCCTTTTATTATTAATATTAACTAACTAAATTAGCTTTTAATAAGATAATCTTGTAATCAAGTCAGATCTAAACATGTTTACTTGGTCCAAGTCATTTTATTACAAGTTGCTGTTATGTGCTACCAAGTTGGAAAATGCTCTTAGCTGACCCTCCAGCGGGTTTTTAGAGTCTGTAAATCCCCTGGAAGGAGACTGTTCATCTTTCTCCCTTGGAGTGCTAGTGGATTTGAACTACTTGTCTTTGGATTGGCAGCACAAATCCTTACCCACTAGGCCACCAGAATTCCCTTTATTACAGGTACTGTTTTTAATAATTTTGAACACTGTAGAATCCTTAAAGAACAGTTTTTTAAAAAACCTCTTCCTATTGTATGTTGTTGTTGTTATGTGCCGTTGAGTCATTTGTGACTCATAGCAACCTTACATACAAAAGCCCTAAACCATGGTCTATCACGTGCCAACTTCACTGTCTCTGACACACCTACTCCCATTACCCCAATCACGTAATCAATCCATCTCATCAAGGGTCTTCCTCTCTCGCACTGTCCCTCCACCCTCCCAAACATATCTATTGTATAGATAAGATGAATTCCTAGGTAAGAAAATTAGTATGTAATGCCACTCAGAAACAGTATTGACTAGTTAGTAAAAAACACACTCTGTACTCCTAAAACTTTAACAGAGGCTTTAAATTTGGGTAAAAATTTAAGACACAGTATCTATTTTTAAGGAGCCTTGGCGATAAAGTTTATTAAGTGTTTAACTACAAGCCAAAAAGTTGGCAATTCAAATATACTTTCACTCCACAGAACATGGGCAGTCTCCTCCAGTAAAGATTTACAGCAATGGAAACTTCAAAGAGTGTTGCCTCAAGTCAGAATCAACTTGCCAACTGAGCAAACCATTTGAGAAGGTGGACTATATAAAGAAGAATGTGGCATCAGGATTGGAGGATGATTTATCAACCAACTGCATTATGCAGATGACAAAACTCTGTCTGCATAAAGTAGACTTGTATCCCAAGTATTTCCCACCTGAATTGTAACCTGTAAATTCCCTAACAGACCCAGTAAACATAACTATGGCTTGTGAATTCTGTGTGACCACGGCAATAAGTTATTGAATCCAGCTGCTGTGTGGTGAGATCTGTGTGGAGGATGGCTGGTGTTAGATTTGGTAGAAGGGGCGGAACACAGGGACCATGTTGACCTTATTGGAATCCGCTGCGTGGTGGTGAAGCTGTCAACAAGGATTCTTCTTCCTTGTGAATTTAGTGGAGGTCAGATGTTCCCTGCCCCCGTACCAGCCACACTGTATTTTCAGTGATATTAATGATTAACATTCCTTCAAAAATACCTTTTTGTTGAAAACTACTATTTATGAAACTATTATTTCAGAGCCATATAAGATATCTCCCCTAGTGAAGAAAACTCACCTTACCTTTACCCTACCAGCAAGGTCACCTTCAGTACTGCTGTACTGAAGACAGACGAAAACAGGACAGTAACTTTCCTACAACAACTGGACAGTTATCATCTTTGATACTGAACACCTGTTTACTCTGTCCTATTATAGGATGAAGTATTTAATATATTAAAAATTTGGGTGTGGGTTTTTTAAAAACAAACAAACAAAAGACTGTTCAAAAATACTACAATAAAAATTTTTGGACTATTGCTTCCATCTTCCCCCCCCCCCACCTTGTGTACCGTTGAATCAGATCCAACTGGCACAGGAGACTGCCTCTCCTCCAACAGAGCATCTGGTAGATCTGAACCACGTGCCTTCAAGATTGCACCACAGCTTCTTGCCACTAGGCCACCAGAGCTCCCTTGCTTCCATCTTTTTAAAAAGTGAAGTAATCTTCCTTCGTGTGAAGAATTAAAAATAAAATGTGCATCCATTTTATAAAGCAATTCATTCATGGGAGAAATCTTAGCTATTTAAAGAGCATAATAATTTTATTTTAAAGACACTGAGTCATGGGGGAAGTTCCATATTCTTGAGCGTGGTGAGTGACCAGCCTGTCTATGGGTTTGGATGGAGCTTGGGGGGTGTGGTCCGTAAGGAGCGGTCATGCAAACCAAAAGGCTGCACGACTCTGGCATTCCAAATTCAGGTGCAGTTCCACTGGAGAAGGATGGACAATCACCTTCTGTAAGACTAACAACCTTTGGAAAGTTGCAGGAGGGTCAGCTATGTGTCAGTTTCAACTCAACAGCAATAAGAGTGAGTGAGTGAGTAGGTAGGTGGGTAAGTGAGAGAGAGAGAGAGAGTGAGTGAGTGAGTGAATATGTGAGTGGAGTGAGTGAGTAGGTAGGTGAGTGGGTGAGAGAGAGAGAGAGTGAGTGAAGGGAGTGAATGAGTGTGTGAGTGAGTGGGTGGGTGGGTGAGTGAGTGAATGTGTGAGTGAAGGGAGTGAATGAGTGTGTGAGTGAG